AAGATGCAACAGGTAGCAGTGAGACATCTGACCCAGCATCGAGAGCACCAGAGCGCTTGCAAAACCAGCGACCCGCGACCCCGACACTTTCTGGCCCACTCCCCAGTCCCCTAACTGCTGAAGAAGCTGCCGGAAACTTGGCTACCTGCCAAACTCAGAGCAGGTGGCATCAGAAAACTCAGGGCTGGAGCTCAAGGTGCCCAGGGCTGTTGGCTGCCTTGCAGGCTCCTAGCGGTAGCAGTCCTAGCACGTCCCTGGCCTGCAGTGACCTCGGAGCGCAGCCTCGCGAGGGCCGTTGGTGTTCAGGGTTTGGAGGGGGGGGGAGGGGGGGGGGGGGAGGGGGGGGGAGGGGGAGGGAGGGGGGAGGGGGGAGGGGGGAGGGAGGGGGGAGGGGGGGAGGGAGGGGGAGGGAGGGGGAGGGGAGGGGGGAGGGAGGGGGGAGGGAGGGGGGAGGGAGGGGGGGGAGGGGGGAGGGAGAGGGAGGGGGGAGGGGGGAGGCGTCGCTTGAGGGCGCTATCCCTGGGTCGATGTGTGGTCGGATTGTTTGGGGCTTGGCGGCTTCGGGATGTTCGGTGGAACGGGTTGATGCGCCCGATGAGAAGTTCAGCTCCCCAGTAAACTTCGGTTCGCACCTTAGTGCAGCCTCCTCCTCCGCCTCCTTCTCCCGGGTTGATCCTGCGATTGTGGAAGTCAAAAGGCTCGTGGCAGGTGGTGGCTGTCAGTGGCCTCCTGGGGGGGCCCTCAAGCTGTAGAAGGCAGAGGGTTAGGGCCCCTAAACCCTAAACCCTAAACCCTAAGCCCTAAACCCTAAACCCTAAACCCTAAACCCGAAACCTTAAACCCTCCACTCAGGTCCTCTGCTGCTGCTGGACCGCCGTGCGGATCTCGAGGAGCCTCTGGAGCAGCAGCCGCACCTGAACCAACTGCTTCTGCATCGGGGCCCAAGCTATGGATACTTTTTCTAGAATAAGGAAGTCCTTGTAGAAAGACCGTCCCCAAGAGGACCTGTTTCAGTGACTTTCTTGACATCATCTTCCTTTAACCTATGAACACCCTGAGCCCAGATAAAGCATGCAAACCCACGCCTGCTCCAACCGACCCGCCTGACGCATCCCTCTAGGTGTCCTAAACCCTAAACAGTAACTCTAAACCCTAAACCCTAAACCCTAAACCCTAAACCCTAAACCCTAAACCCTAAACCCTACACCCTACACCCTACACCCTACACCCCAGGGCCCCGACCCGCAGCAGATGAAGCCCACAGCGGAGAGCAGGGCGAGGCCAAGAAGGGCGCCAAAAGCCCCGAGGAAGGCCTCGGAGGCAAGGAGGGCTTCGGGGCCTTTAGGGCCTTTTAGGGCCTTTTAGGGCCTTTTAGGGCCTTTGGGGCCTTTGGGGCCTTTGTGGGGCCTTTAGGGGCCTTTCGGGCCTCTAGGGGCCTTTCGGGCCTTTAGGTCGGTTTGGTGGGAGTCAGGGCACGCCTGTGGGGTGAGTGGTGCCGTTTTTGCGAGAAGCTGACAGCAAAGGCCTCTCAGAGTTTGTGCTTGGGAACTTGAGTGAGAGATCTGGTTGAACGTCTAGGTTGCTTTCCCACGAACCTGCCCTGGCTCCTGAATTTGAACATAGTTGAAACACATGGCCACAGCGAATCAATGGGAGGATCCAGAGGCCTGGGCCAATATGCCCACACCAGGCCACAGCCAGCGGCACTCCAAGGGTAGTCGACCTAGCCCGCATGGGTATGCTCCGCGCTCTGCTGATTTCCCCTGTGGACTCTTTGCCTTACATTCCCACGCTACCCCCGCGATGAAGCGAGCCAGCCTTCTGCAATGTCTTGCGCAGATGCGTTGAATGTGAAGGCGTCCTTGCGGCTTGCAGGGATGTTGTCACATTCATGCCACGTGATATGCCCGCGCAGAAACAACGGATTCACCAGGGACAGACAGATAGATACACCTTCTATCCAGGCAATAGCACCACATTGCCCACATCCCATGTTCGCGGCACCCCACATCACAATTTATTGGCGTTGTTCAAGAGACCTTCCCTGCCAACATCACATCATAGTGTCATACACAGAAACCGTCCCCCAGCATCTCCCAAACCACATGAAGGATGTGCAGATGCCAGGGCACCGATTCACACTGCTTCACCCGAGCCCGAGCCGAAGGGCTCCTTCCGCAACCGTGGAGCGGAGCAGTGCCGCAGCATCTGGCTGGTGGCGCTCACCTGCAAAGGGTGGCTAAGCGCTTGGGGCTCTTGGGATGGCTTGGCTTCTCTATCCGACCTTTTGGGGCGAACTGATGGCTTGTCTAGGAGCTCGTGGTCACAGAGCTTTGCACCAGGCCTGCCCGAAGAACTCCGGGTAGATGTAGCCCTTGCCTGGGGGGTTCAGCGAGAGTCGGGAGAAAATCCTGCTTGAAACGCCAGTTCGTGCTCTGCGGTCGAAAAATGTGAAAATATAAGGACGCACTAGTAGCTTGCTTGAGTCAGCTTTTACATGCAGTATGTGGTTTTTTTGTTGCTGCTGTCGTTGTTGCTTCATTGTTGTTGCTCTATCGATGTTTGATGCGTGGTTTGCTTGTTTCTCTTGGTTACGTACCGAGGAAAGGGTAGCAAAGGGATACCGGAAACAATGTGAGACCACTCCAACATTGTCTCGAAGCAGATGTCAGTACTTGCTGGACTGAAGGCACTCTTGGGTACAAGCGGACTGGCCGCTTGCAACGACCCACATCCTGAGCTGTCAGAGTGTCAAAGTCTATGACCCTTCATGCCGGTCCCAGACCTCGAAGTCAGACACAATCACCCTGAGCCCAGCGGCGTGGCTGAAGCGGCCGCCCCACTCACAGCTCACCTTCATGGCCTCCAGGGCTGCAGCCGTCATCGTGACAAATTGTGATCGAAAGGCACCAGAAAGTCCTGAAAGTCTTCCCTCAGGCCCGCACATGCAGTGTGTCCATGGCGAGGAAGAAAGGCCCGCGCTTACCACGGTCCCAGTCGTCCTGCCACTCATCCTGGCCATTTTTTCTGTTCAGCTGGTGTCTGATTTCACCGACTGCGGGCTTCGCATTTGCATCCCACACATCCCAACGCTCCGGCGAACTGGATCGCACGGCATAAGCTGCCCTTTTGTCCGCAGGATTACAGCCAATTAGCCCTTGGAGAAGCCTCGGCACCAAGTGCCATCCTCTCAACGATGCATAGTCAGTGTTTCCTCACACCCTCCCGACGCACTTGGGTGCTGAGGCTGCAAGAGTGGTGAGATTTCAATCGAGCCACACGCGTCTACTTTACAGCTTCTATGTTTGCACACTTCTGGCTGTGTTAAGCCCATGCAGGATACAAGACTTCCAGCTCACGTCTGACTCAGATGTCATTGCGGTTCCTGCAGGGCAGTGGGAGGGGTAGAGCTCAAGGGCTTAAATAGGCAGTCTCTGCAAATGCAGGACAGTGGGTCGCGAAACCGCGATCATGGTAGCAACCTTCAAGTAGTGGTTAGGCTAGCATTCTACAGGCTTGTGGTCGCTGTAGGATGACACACCATCTTGGACGACCTCTTCGATCTTCAAATTTCGCCGCTTGCACCAGCTTCGGGAGACGTCCTTGGCCAGCGCTGCTGCAAGACTGCTACATGCAGCTGCAAAGGCTTGCGATGTTCTGTGCCCAGCGCAATTAAGCACTTTCAGTCTTGGAAAGTTGGGGGCAAGGCATTGACCTCACGGTGTGTGCATGTTATCTCTGTGACCTGACTTACAGCAGCATGTGCGCTCTGCGGCTTGACTTTTGACGGCCCTGGCAAACTTCAGCACCCGTCTCCTTCGGCGTTCCAGGCACAAACGACTCTTCTGAGTCGCGTGCAAAGGCATGAACAGCCCTCAACAAATGATCCGCAGATCGAGTTCCGGATCGAGCATCATCGGCAGAACTACTCGGCAGCAAAAGGTGGCTTCGAAATCAACCAGGCCTGTACGTCAGGATGGAGAGAGGTCGGAAGTCGTGTACAACAAGCAAGCCAAACTGCGGCAACGAAAGTCGGCATCTTCCACGAGCCCAAATCACAGAACGGTAAGAGATTGACACCTTTGGGGGGGGAAAGACTCCGTGTATTCTAAGTCTACACAAGCTTCCAGGAAGGCTACGAGGCTACAGTTACACTTTGCTGCCTAGCTGGCATCGAGCAGGACAGAGGCTTTTGCCGAACCGGCGCGAGGCCGCCGAAGCGATTAGGGATGCCAAAAACGGACCTGTCCCATGCAACCATATTACATTTAAATACTCATTATTGATGTTACTATTACTATTACTATTATTATTACTATTATTATTACTATTAGTCAACAATGCTGAAGACCTTCTACCTTCAGGCTACCTGGGTTACGCAAAGGCTTCTGAGTTGGCTTAGGCAGATTTTGGCACCCTGGTGTTTAAAGCCCTCAGAGCGAAGAGCTACAAAGCTCACTGCCAAGATCCCTGTCAGAGGAGGGTCGAGATCAGCGGGAGTATACGATGTGGTTTTTGCCACTTAGGCGCTCAGGCCTCAGGTAAGGCTCGAACACCTCCTCTTGATCTGGTGAACTGGAAGCTGATATGAGATGCAGAGTCATGGCCCGTATGGCTGACACTTGGCGTCGCCACAGGCACATCACATTCTTATTCAAACAGTAGGTTCTACGTGGGGACTACCTGAACCCCTCTTTCTCTTTGTAAAAGAATTCCGTGCGGCCGTGTCTGGAGAGGCCTGATTGGCCCGAGTGGCCTGAGTGTGTGAAGCCGCAGCCTCCGGCCACAGCGTGCAACACCCAGGACCAGTCTTTGCGACACCAGCATCAGCCTGCAAACCTGCTGGAAGCAGCAAGACCATAAAATCTTGGACTCCCTGACTCGAGTGAAGAGCAGATGCTTCTTTGATTTTATTGGCCAGTATCTCTTTACACACGCACGCAAGCCAAAACAATATGCGATTCGCACATGCCGTCGGCCTTGTAGGAGAGTGACAAAGGCTACTCCGGGCCATCGATTGAGCTGCCACTTTTTGGGAAGATCTTGCCTGTCAATGGAAAGGAAGGAGTCCATGACTCTAACAACGATATTCAAGATGATGATGCTTTGCCCGCTCACCCCCAGCCCTCGCTCCCCTTCACCCCGGCCTACGTGCGTCTCATCCAGCATCGCGCTGCCTCCGGAGTCCCCACACATGAAGCGCATCCAAGTCAACCCTGCATGATCCTGCATGCAAACTCCTCAGAGGTTCGCGGTTAGCAACCAAGTCACTGGAGCGGCGCTTGTTGATGACGTGTCGGGTGAACGCATGGTTGCGATGGTCAGGGTTGATCACACCACCAACATGCCTCGTAGGAAGGCGTGTCTACAGCAAGAGCTGAGGAAATGCTTAGGCCTCTGTTCTGTCTGCGGCGATGCATGATCCTTCTAAGCCTGCGCACATCTGTCCCTTTGACCTGGCTTCTCAACCCCTCTCGTCAGCAAATTCCCCCGAGTCTTGGAAGAGCGTCTTTTCTGCACTCACCAGTGCGCCCGTCGCCCAGTCGAACAGCAGCTCCTGTCAAATCGAGGCATGAAGAAAAAGTGGCCAGGAAGCAGCTCGCCAAAACTTATCTAGAAGAAAAGCGTTTTTCGGGATCTACGATGAGACAACCTGAGAAGCTTGGCCTCATCGGCCCAGGCGTCCGTGAGCGAGCCCGGGCATTCCATGAAATAGGTCCAGAAGGCCACCTGAACCAAGGCACTCGCATCCCATGAACCCGCCGAACATCGGGTTTTCCGTCGGCATTTGGAGGGCTGGAATGGAAGAGCTAATCAGCTAATGCGGCCAGGACCACGGCATAGTTTTTCACCGTGATGTCATCCTTGAAAATATCCTGTTACGACGTGTAATGTTCATGGAAGTAGATCCGACTGAACCTAGCGCTCCGGCCGCCTTCGTCGGCACGTAACATGCTAACAGCACCAGGACCTTTTGAGCGACATCCCTACTACTGAGAACCTAACACAAGAGCTGATTACTGGAGTGACAAGGCAAAGTGTTTGGTGTTCTGGGTCTGGGCACGGGCAAAGAAACCATGTATTCCTTTGTGCGCCAAAAGAGCAAATAAACTTGAGCTTCAACTGAGAGAACTTCAGCATGTCAGGTATCCTGGAACTTTCCAGCATCCAGGCCGACGACGTCGCACCTTTGACTTTCAGGAGGTCCCGTCTCAAGGGGCTTCAATACCGCAAACGATCACTGTTGAAACTCCAGCTGTCGGAACGATTTTTCAGAGGAGCGGAGGGCCCCTTCCCAAGGTAGCCAGGACTTTAAGCGGGGAGAGGCTTCTGTCATCGCGGCACCCGCAACCATGCTGCTCTTATCTTTGCCGTCTTGCTGAGACTTTGATGGGTTGGGGGCTGCTACTTTTGTTTATAGAGACCCCATCTCGCGCCAGGTGACTCCTCAGGCCCGGTGGTGGCGAAGCCATTGTGGGACCACTTCAGCCAGAGAGCTGCCTCACAGATCCACTTGCCTGGGCACAGAGGTGCGGTGAACATCAGCTGCAGTGGCTCTGCTTCGCCGCTCCCTCTTGTATCTTCCAAAGGGGAATAGGGGACGACGGGTTTGAGGCATCTGGCCGAAATATGCTGAAATGGCGCGAGAAGACTGGGGCTGTGGAAAGATCACGGGGGGATCAGGACTTCTTAGGACGACCCCAACATACTCCAAACTACTTCAAACAGCTCCAAACCGTCCAAACCTTGTCAACGTGCTCTCGAATCCAGCCTTCCTGCAGCAGAACTGGCAGCGGCGACAGCTGCTTGTCGCATTTGTAGGTTAGAGCCTTGGTCGATGCAGCGAAGCATCTCCAAGCGATTCGGACAGCGTGGCTTTGAGTTGGCTGCCCCAGAAGTGATGAAATACATCGCGGTCGCTGACTCGCCCGATGTGATGAGCTCCTGGAGTTCAGGGCGAACTGAGGTTTGTATAATACTCATAGTAATAAATATAAAAACAACTATCTTTCCTATTGTTATTGGATGATTTTGGTTTTCTATGTTTTTGTATCTTTTAATATTTGATGATGATGATGATGATGATGATGATGGTGATGATGATGAGTCTGATTTCTATTTATACTGTTCATATTTTTTATGAGTCTGATCATTATTATTATTGTTGTTATCATTGCCCTGATTATTATTCTTATATCGTGATTATGACTATTATTACTGTTGTTATTATTTCTATTCTGATTCTTGTTCTTAATTACTATTCTTATCATTTTGATTCTTATTTTTCATTACTATTAGTAGTATTATTGTGATTAATATGATTATTATCATTATTCTTCTGATTATTACTATTAGTATTATTACGCACAGCACGTGAGGTTTGCCGTCGCGCATTGTTTTTCATTGGTTTTTGTGGGACGGGAGGCACCTCATGATGGTCAATCTTGTTGGATGATTTTTTGGCGTTGCGCTGCCGCTATGAGTTTTTGCTGATTGTTAAGCAAGTCCTGGTGTTGTTTGACGCCACGTTTGCCGTCAGGCAGCATTTACATGGCTGGCTGCCTGATGTGTGTGCGCACGCGGCAAACACTGTTATTTGCGATGTTTTCATGCACTTCTGCCAAGACAACCTCTGCAGCTGTGTTTTTTGGAGGCTTGCATTTCCGAAAACGCACTTGCCAAATTTCCGGACTTTCACGGTTTTTGTGGGACGTGTTTTGGGCATGGTCGCGACAGGCTGGACGCTTGTGACAGATTTTCTTGTTCCACATCCTTGTGCAGTATGTTGTACAAAGAGACGAAAACGCTGTAAATACCAGTGTTTTGGGCATGCATGCAGTATGAATGACGTTCTTACCCCCCCCCCCCCCACCCCAAAGTTACAGCCGTAGCTGACGGCAAACCTGGCGTGCTGCGGGTATTATTACTATTGTGTTTTTATCATTCTTATTAGTAATCTAGAAATAGCAAAATAATGACAGTAATAATAGGTTATAACAACAAAAGCAATAATGGTAGTACTAATAATAATATTGGTGATAATAAAAATAGTCATAATGGTAAGAACACTACGACTAACAATAAGAAGAAGAACAAGAACAACAACAACAACAATAACAATAACAATATCAATAACAATAACAATAACAATGACAATAACAATAACCATAACAATAACAATAACAATAACAACAACAATAACAATAATAGTCGAAATTGTAATAATAATATTCCGTACTAACGATAGTAACAGTGATAGTAAAAAAACATCGTAACGGTAATGGTGTGAAGGTCTCAGGCTTGAAGTGGGGCGCCTGGTTTGGAGGCAGGGACCTTCCTTTCAGCGCCACGGAGTAAAGCTTGCGGATGTGGAGTTCGAAGCCTCACCGGACCCAGAGCTGACGGGTTTGGGGTTTAGGGTTAGGGTTTAGGATTTAGGGTTTAGGGTTTTGGGTTTAGGGTTTGGGGTTTAGGGTTAGTGGTTCAGTGAAGTCAGGGGCCTCCCATCACCCCACAGACTGAAAGGGGGAAAGTCATCAAGGACTCTGCAGCTGCAGATGCACCCAACTTCTCCGACTGCTAACGATGCCAAGGTGCAGGAGTTGCACACCGAGAAGAAAGGGTGCAGTGCAAAAGTTGGGGAGTAGACCTCACAGGGGCGCACTGTCAGGCCTAACACACATTCTAAAACCCTAAAATGTCATGAAAACCCTGAGCAGACATTTGCCATCGCCTCGCTGTTGAGGTCCTGCCGCAAGCTGAGCGGAAGCATGTTCAGCACCTTGATGTCCTCTTCATGCACCTAGATTCTCCGACACAGGGGGATGAGCTGATGCTGTGCCAAAGCTGCTGCTCCAAATTGGGAGACAAGTTATGACCAGCTGGATGTGTCTCGATGCCCGATACACCTTGTGAAGATCGTTAAAGAGGTGTCCAGAAAGAATTTGCTCCCTGGAGGCCATGGAAGCTTGATTTCTGACCAGGCGCCCGCCGCTTGTTTCTGTTCATGGCAGAACTCACGCTCTGCAGAACCCGTGCAAGAAGTCCTCCAGACACGTTGCCTCCGGACAAAAGAACACAGCATGGAGCTTCTGCAACTCACTACTGCATAAACCCTCTACGGCACAAAGCGAACTCGAAGCTCTGGAAAAAGGTGCAGACGAAGGGGCACTGGGTCAAATATCGTCGAAGCAAGGAGAACTGCTCATTTCTGTCCTCCCACACGCCCCCTCATCCCCTTAAAGGCCTTTGCCAGCCTGCTGTTTCGGAAGCCCTCTTACATGCCATGGGTTGAACAGTCCTTGTTCAGCGTCCGCAGCTGCGTCATGGCGTTTGTGATGGCAGAGATGAACGAGGAGAAGATCACCTGCGCGAAGGGAGAAATTGAGGCTTAGACACCTGAAAACCAAAGAAAAACTAGACCCCTAAACCCCAAGCTGGGGCCGAGAAGCCATTGCCGAGACAATGACGCAGACACAGAATATGCGCTCTGTGGCGTTGGTCGGGTAGACTTCCATCGATGCCGGGGTAAACTGCGTCAGACTCCAATGCAAGCAAGTAGAGTACCTGAAGCTTCGGACCTAGACAGTAGGGGTTTGGGGTCTGGGTTGAGGGCTTAAGGTGAACCAACACTCTGACACCAACACTGTGAGACACAAATCGTGACAGCTACTGCGCGAGCCAACTGCTCCACCCTGTGCTCCTCTTGAAACAAGACGAGGTGCTGATAAGGAATACCTCTTCCATCGATGGCCTGACGTGTGGAAATCTGAAGCTGAGCTTGCTTGCGCTGGCATGTTATGACATTCCGGCATCACACTCGGGATGTTCGCCCGAGAAGGCTTTCGATCCAAAATCCGCGTTCCGGCTGCGAGCCGATTTAAGCCGCAGGGCTCCCGCACACTGGCTCCATTTCACCAAGCAGCATTGTCATAGAACCACGTGTCTATGCCATTGGGATCCTGCCGCCCGATCCAAAACCACAAGCACCTGATACAGGGCTCTTCAGTGGGAATGCGAAGAGTCGAAGTACTCCACAGTCCTGGACCGTCAGTTCAAGGCTTTTGCTCGGCTTCCCCACCAAGGGTCTTGAACCCTTCTCCCAAGGCACGCAATGAAGTGGTTCACGCAGAGGATCAAGCCGAGAAGCTTGACAATCCCCACCTTTTGAATTTTGAGGCTCTGGGCATTAGGTGGGCTTAGGATTGTTTGAGGGCTTCCGTTTGGCTTTCCCTGCTGCCTTCATATGAGTTCAGGCCGATGACCAGCCAGAAGGGGGGGGGGTGCCACTACAAAGGTTGCGGATTCCGCACAACTTCATCATCTTAGAGGCCAGTTCGAAGAGTACCTATTCAGGAATGGCCCTCGTCGTCAAGGCCCGAACTACTGCCCCCTAAGCGCTGAAAGCATGGTTGCGGGATTGAGAGCAAGCCGCAATGATGATGCAATGCTCGGAGTGGATAGTGTCCAGCAGCTCCTGCCCAGGCTCCACCAGCACTTTGCGCAGCTTCCATGAAAGCTTCGCTCTTACCCTGGCATGCATGCCATTTTAGACAACGCGGAATATCCGCACCACCAACACCACCACTCCCCCACCGCCCCGCATCTGCCTGCAGCATGCCACCTCCCTTCAGCACGCGGATGAGGCGAAATACGCGGAGGATGCGCACTCCTCAGGGCATCTCTGGAACTGGATTCTGATAGCAGCCTCGGACTGCTGAAATGAACTTCCATCACCCTCTTTAGGCGTCCTTTGCCGAGGCGGAGAGCGCTGATTCCTGCAGTGCAAAGCTCCGGAAGTACCCAAAACTGCTGCTCGCACAGGAGTCGGCAGAGCAACGCGTATCATCTTTAGGACAACGTAGACAACTTCTGGATTCTGCTCTCAAGGCCGAAAGATAGAGCGCTTCAAAGGCCTCCCACGTTCCGCGTGTTGGTCACCTTAATGAGCAAAGAACCGAGCAGAACGAACAAAAGGATCCCTCGACCAAAAGTAGTAAAATAGTACCAATAAGTGCAGCAAAAAAGTGATGATAATCGCAATAATTATCGTGGCAATGATAACCATCATAATAGTGATCCTACACCACCGTGCACACCAATGGAGACCGTTCTCACAACCAGCTCACACTAGAACGCGTGTGTCAGGGCCTGGTTGCTGGCACCCTCAACCCCTAAACCCTATACCCCTAAAGCACAAACTGCAAGCAGGTGGCCATCTCATACACATTCAGTGACCAGTCCACTGAAACAACAAGGATGTCGAACCAAAACCATCCACGAATGTAGAGACCTCCACGTTGCATGGCGGAGCATTTTTTTGTTGGAAAGACATGGCTCCACCCTTTTCCTTTGGCACGGGAATGCGGTTTTGCGAGAGATGTTTCGGGAACCCAAGACGGGAAGCTTTGAAGAGTGCTGCACAAAGGCTGGGACTGCGGTTTAAGATCAGCGGGGCGCGCTTGCAGCAGGCTTTCGAAGGTCTCCCACTTGTTTTAGGACTGAGTTCCTACACGGTTCGCAAAAGGCTCTGACAGAATTACAAACTTCTGAAGGCTTCAAGGTTTTTAAGAAAGGCTCCGAGGGCACAGGAAGGTGAAGATGGGTTTTGATTGCAAGGAGGCGGCGTAAAGATGCTGAACAAAACGGGTTTTTGCAGGAGGGCTAGACAGATTGACTATGTGTTGCTGGCTGTGTTTCAATACGGCTTTTAGCAGGGCCTACGGGGTTCTGGAAGGAGGCGGCCGGAGGCGGTCGGAAAGTTTCATATGATTTTACTCACGAAAGGCGTTTAAGAGGCCTTTGAGGCAAGCAATGAAAAGGTCTTACGATGATTGTAAGAAGCCTCTTGGACAGAAAGCAGCCGTGATGAGCCCACCGCAGAGACAAACCACATACCACACCTTTGTAAAGGAAAAAAAGGGTCGAGCAACATCTTCAAAAACTAGGGCCCGCTCTGGAGAACGGTTTAGAGTTCAGAGCTTATTTGGGCTTGTAGTCTAGGGCTCCTTCTCCAACAGCCAGGACTGGCATGGATTGGAAAATTGCGGCCCTAAACTCCCTAAACCCTGACCGTCCTGTGTTCTGAAGCCCTGAACCCGAGAACTAGCACAGGTGTGGGGAGCGATTGACGGCCATTGCAAGTAGCTTTCTTCATGTGGGCGACTGACAAAACCTCGCGTTCGCCGAACGTTGCGCAACTTGCTTGGTGGGCCCGTATCGATTGTCGAGGACTAGCAACCTGACAAATACAGCATCTCTTCGAATATACAAGGTGTTTTTGGGTTGGCCCCTATCGATTTTCGAGGAAAGTACAACACAAACAAAAGGCATGCAACGTCAAGATAAGATTGGGTTTGCATTACTTTTGTCCGATGCTCATGCGCAGCTGATCTTGCTACATTCTACTATATTATGCATCTGTCGCTTGACTTCCATGGCAGAAGTCTCAAACATCCACCAGTTTGGGCAGATCCCCTGCCTGCGATGGCTCTAACGTGCATTTCAATGATGCCTTTCTTCTGGATGATCTGTCCTTGGGCTTACGCGTTCAGTTCAGGCCCTGCACTGCCCGGTGCTCAGGGTTTACTCCCAGAAACTTTGCGCTATTGAGTTTAGGAAGCTCAACGTGCATTCCGTCATATTCTTCCATGTCTGTACCCCTGCCCTCGAACAGCAGCTCTACGCCAAATCGAGTGGCAAGTTCACTGACGCGACAGCACGATTGGCAATCATCTTGAATGACTGCAGGACGAGCAGCCCACTAGGAACGACATTGGGATATCCAGAGCCCAGTAAATGCTGCTAGTCCATCCCATCACCTCAGTTCTTGAAACCATGACTGGGTTAGCTAACGCAAATACCTTCCAACCTTGTCCTAAGCTGGTGCATCCTGCTCCTCAGACTTCTGCTCATGGAGGGCTAAGGTCACAGCCTCTGTGAACGTGTTTCCTGGGGGGTCGAAGACCTGATCCCACAAGCGCGGGCCGGCATGGAAACACCGCATAGAAGATGCAGCAAGCTCTCTAATCTTGAAGCAACTCTGCAATTTGGTCTGCATGCCCGCATAACATCAACGCCACCACCGTACCGTACCGCCGCCACGGCGTTGCACGGAACCCTCCAGCCCTTACGCCTACCTGCATGGGAAGCCAGAACAGGTCGTAGATGATGAGGAACAATCCAAGAACCTCGCATCAAAGGAGAATTCGATTCTGTAGAATCTCCTACTACTATTGCTGGTCTTGCGACTATTGCTAGTATTGCTGGTCTTGCTAGTATTGCTAGTCTTGCTACTCTGGCTCCTATTGCTTCTACCGCTATTGCTCTTGCTACTATTGCTACTATTGCTACTATCGCTACTATTGCTACTATTGCTACTATTGCTACTCTTGCTACTCTTGCTACTATTGCTACTATTGCTGTTATTGCTACTATTGCTACTATTGCTGCTACTCTTGCCACTCTTGCTACTACTCTTCTACTTCTACTTCTACTTCTACTTCTACTTCTACTTCTACTACTACTACTACTACTACTACTACTACTACTACTACTACTACTACTACTACTACTACTACTACTACTACTACTACTACTACTTACTACTAGTAGTAGTAGTAGTAGTAGTAGTAGTACTACTACTACACTACCACTACCACTACCACTACCACTACCACTACCACTACCACTACCACTACCACTACCACTACCACTACCACTACCACTACCACTACCACTACCACTACCACTACCACTTCCCCTACCACTACCACTACCACTACCACTACCACTACCACTACCACTACCACTACCACTACCACTACCACTACCACTACCACTACCACTACCACTACCACTACCACTACCACTACCACTACCCCTACCACTACCACTACCACTACCACTACCACTACCACTACCACTACCACTACCACTACCACTACCACTACCACTACCACTACCACTACCACTACCACTACCACTACCACTACCACTACCACTACCACTACCACTACTACGACGACGACGACGTCTACGACGAGACTATGAGAACTACTAAATAGCGAGACTATGATACCTACTAAGTAACGATACTATTGCTACAATGATCACTACTAATGTTGCTGGAATGCTTTTGACTACAGTACTTCATAGTACTACGAGTGAACGGTGTGCGTCTCCCAGCCTCGAAGCCCAAGCGCTTTGGCGAACTCGGATCCAGCACGAACCTCCACTCATAACCGATTTGGGGAATGCCATAACACCCAAATGTACATGAATCCCTCTCATAAGCAGCCCTTCCAAAACCGGTATCTCGTATTTGCGGAAAGCCCACCCTTTTGAGGGATTGAAACAGAGGGCTTAGCTGAGCCTCTAGCGCAAAGGCTCACCAAGAAACAAGCAACACTCAACTTATCAATGTCGGGCCTGTTCAAGGTTCTGATGATGAGCAGCTGCTCAGCATCATCCTTGAAGGCGTGGCCACGCCACTTCCATGCTCCAAGAACGCTAATGGCAGGAAAATGGCAGGAAAAGACTGCAACAGGAGGCTCCTCCCCGCTGAGCTGCTTCAGGCCACCGCCACTTGTGGCGGTCCTGCGAGCAGCACTCGTCACAGGGACCACAAGACTTCACCGCGTCCCCCCCCCCCCCAAAAAAAGCCCTCGCCTTGCAACTTTCGACGTAGTGGCGGTGCCCTTCCTGGAAGCCAAAGCCCATGAAAAGTAGGGAAAGCGGTCGGACGTGTCGGGATATGCGGCTATTCCACGCTATTCCACACCGGATACTCAATCGCAACAAGGCCTTCGCCAAGATTGCGCTAGCTTCAGGTCGACCTCCGCATTCCTGGGTTCAAAAACCCGATGCTTGCAGGGAAGAAGGGGCCTTAGAGCCCGTTTGAGAGCTTAAACATCAGGAAAGGGCATTTGGAACCCGCACTCCTTCTTTTAAACAACAGCAGGCAAGGCCACAGTACAGGACCTGGAGCATGGGCAGCTGAAGGTTCAGCCACATCTTGCAACATCAACGGGACTAAAGCCGACCAGGAAGGCCCCGACAAGCCTAAAGAGTTGGACGGGCAGCGACATCAACGAGTGGCGCCGCGACGCAGGAGCGGGAGGCTCCTGAATGCTTGGGCCGGGGTTGCAGGCCTACTCACGAGCATGGGCTGCGCTGCTTCTCTTTAGCTTGTCGCACACAGCACAAGCCTAACATGAGCGTATATGAAGTAAGAGAGAGAGAGAGAGGGAGAGCGAGAGAGAGCGAGAGAGAGCGCCTCGTAGCACAAACCTTGGACGACCATTCACAGACAACCTCGTTCCTCTCCACTCCTGCTTATGGAGGGTTCCCAAACGGACTGTGTCTCGATCCAGGTGCCGGAGACAAGATGGACTCCAGGGCCGAGATCCAACTGGGGGATTGAGTTCTAGCTAGGGTCCCCCCTGTTAACAGGGATCTGTTTCTGAAGCAACCCTGATTTGGGGGTTCGAACTTGTGTAGGTCCTTGCCCTCTAACGCATGGGCATTGTCCGCGCCGAAGAACCCGGAGCTCGACACCCTACGCCTAACCTTCAAACCCCCCCAAAAAACACCCTCAACCCTCAACCCTAAACCCTAAACCCTCAACCCTAAACCCTAAACCCTACACCCTGGACTTGAATACCCCCTGAAATGACAGGAGGAGGCTCTTCACACGGGAGCACACCCTGGAAGTGGGCGCTGCGGAAGGAGCTCTTTGCGCTGACGGCGCCCACGGCCTCCGGACCTCTGGGCTCAGGGAGCCGGTTTAGCGTTTAGGGTTTAGGGTTTAGGGTTTAGGGTTTAGGGTTTAGGGTTTAGGGTTTTTGGGGTTGAGGGTTTAGGATTTGGGGTTTAGGGTTTTGGATTGAGGATTTAGGGTTTGGGGGCTAGGGTTTGGGGTTGAGGGGTTTAGATGGCCTTGAACCTCGAGGGGCTTAGGGCTTTAGGTCCCGAGGGTTCAGGGCTCTGCATATCTGGTGCTCAGGAAAGATGAAGGTCTCAAATAGTTACTTGGGACTTTAGCTGTCGTTCTGGGCAGAGGCGGTCCTTCTGCAGCTTCGACTGACCCAGGCAGCTTCTTGAGCAGCAAATCCTCTCCTGGCCAGGAGTCAACAACCGAGAAGGAAAACTCAACCGCCTAGCCACTACAATCAATGCGCGAAAGAAACACTAGCTCAAGATGCAGCCAGGAGATGCCATGAGTCTAGTGCATGGAGATGGACTCAAATAGCAGCACAGGCTAAACCGACACTCAGCGTCCTAAGGAAGCTTGTAACAGTATCAGCTTTGAAGTTTTGACCTGGCTACATGCGATACGCCATCTTGCAGAGCGATGTACGTTCTTCTGTATCCATTTCCATGTCGATGCTGTTAACCATCAAATGTCAAACGGACATGAATTTACTGCAGGCGCTCTACCACTGTGTACCTGCTGGCATAGCACCCTCTATTTCTTTGACATGTCATCACGTCTGGCAGTGCCTGCAGTTCCGACGCACAAAGAGATGTTTAAGTGCCGAAGTTGCTCCAAACAAGGGGAACATAGGGGAAGTGCGACACAAGTGCACTGGCGCAAACACGGCCGAAACCCGAACACTCCGAACAGTCAAAAGCCCGCCCGCCGTGCCTGTCTCCATCTTCGGCGGCCGGGAGGTAGGTGTGGGGGGCATCAGTGATGCCGAGTCTTGCCGCTGGACAACTGGGCAGCACAGAATTCTCAGAAAGGCACCCGAATCTGGAGTATGAAAGGCGGAGCGAAGAGCGAGATGAGCTAGCGGAGCTAGCGAGATGAGAGAGAGTGAGAGAGAAAGAAAGAAAACTAGGTAACTAGACTGATGATAAAGCAATGAGGAAAAAAGAACGAGAGAGAAAGGAGATGATAGAAGAAACAAAAATCAACAAAAGAATGAAAAACGTAGATAGAAAGGAACCGAAAAGGACACAGCGTGTGCGCACGTGTGTGCGTGCGTGAACCCTCGCCTTTACCAAGGTCTGTGTCCATCTCCACGAACCTCTCGCCTGCACCTGATGCCTGAACACATCCGAACCTCCGCACAACAGCCTACTGAAGTGTACCCTTCCAAAGCGGCCCTAAACCCTTAACCCTCAAGCCTAAACCCTAAAAACCCTGAAGCGGCATGCTTCGGAGCCACAGCGTTTGGACCGCTGCTGTTCCTGGCGTAGCGCATCGGATGCCTGGCGCGCGAAGCTGGACTGGGGAAGTTGAAGAACTGCTTGTGGCTTTCGCATGGGTTTAGGGTTTAGGGTTTGGGGTTTAGGGTTTAGGGTTCAGGGTTTGGGGTTTACGGTTTAGGGTTTAGGGTTTAGGGTTCAGGGTTTAGGGTTTAGGGTTTAGGGTTTAGGGTTTAGGGTTTAGGGTTTAGGGTTTAGGGTTTAGGGTACCACGACCGAACGCGGGCCGCAGCCCGGATAACATCAACCCACAACAGCTTTAAGCTCACATGGAGTTGCCCAAGATTTCTTGAGCAAGGTGTATGTTTGACCGTCGCAAGCCCTTATCGAATATGCCGGAAGGGGCATTGTAGCCGATTGGAGTCGCCGTATCTTTTGGGGGTTGAAGTTTAGGGAGTTCACAGGTTCAGCTTAACGCTTTGCCTTTTCACTGAACTTTACCGTCACACTGCAGCCGTCATACAGTGTCATACATCTACACGCAAAAAAGTTCGGTGGCATATCGGGTCCAGAATTTCTTCGGACTGTCACGAACACTGATCGGCGAAGAGTCGCGATTCTCTCGATCGCATTCTTGAATACCAAAATACAGGATCTCGCTTTTCTGAGTGGGGCAGTTGGCAGGCAACCTGCAACGTTGAAACGATTCAGAATGCTGGTACGGACGCGCCCTTGACATGATGATGCCAGCCAACGACTCGTTCCAGCGATCTCAGCCAAAACTGGGAGGCAACTCAACCCCACACAACATCACAAATATCCACAGATCGCGGTCAGACTGCAACCCATTGCAACCCCCAGTGTCGGAATAGACGCCCTCTTTGCCTCGTCCAGGAGCTGCATTGCTGCAGCAAGCTGTGCCGTGTGCAGATCACCCGCCTGGGCTTGGATTCAATTAGGATGGTTCAGGGTCGGACAAAGTTTGGGGTTGGGTGATTTGGTGAGGAGTTTAGATGAGGGCTTCAGGATTGAGATGAGCTCCAGATTTTCCGGGCTCTTTAAGCTAAGCTGGCAAAAAATCTCTTCCTCAGCAGCAAAGCGAGGCAGGTAAGGTACACATGACATACCAGAATCCGCATACACCCGCTCCAGACTCCAGACCAAGGGACCCTCTGCAGCAACTCCAGGACGCTCAGGTTGTCCTGCACCGGGCATCTATCACCCCGACAGCCGGCCTCCATTCTTTGAACGTTGGCTACACGCAAGGATGCCCTGCGATTTCAAGCAGAACGTCCATATGGGCCACATGGGCGCTTGCACATCTACAAGTTCGCTCAGGCGCATACCGTGCAGGCACCCTTACACTGTCGAAATGATCATCTGCTCGAACGCGTTTTCCAAGTACACAATTGTGCTCGCTTCCATCCAGCGAGACATGGCTAGGTGCGTGTCCCAGTCCTCTGACAACGTCAGTGCCCCCGTCATGGTGGAAGCAGCGCCGGTGCGGAAGCCGTGGCACCCAGAAATGGTCCTGCAGCTAGGCCTGTACGGTACAGATTGCATGGTAAAGGCATCGATTCTCGAGTAAGGTGTGAGGGGGGCATTGAGGCCGTCATGGCCCTAACTGAGGATACCTGCGCACCTCTGCTCTGCTTCCCTAAAGTTACTACTCGGGCTTGTTCGACGTCTTCAGCAAGTGCTGTCTGTGAGCCAGCGAAGCCGCACAACTGACAGATGTCCACAAGGACCACCAAACTTGACTTCGGATGCGCCTGTAGATATCATATCCTTGCAGCTTCCAGCTGGCGAGGCTGCGCTAAGCCCACCCTTCAACTGCTGTGGGTTGTGTTGTGCGTGGTGTCTTCTGTCAAGTGTGCAGAAGATGTCGCTTCAGGAATTGCTGCTTACGCAAGACAACCACAGCAAGCACTGGGCAAAGCTGTGCTCGCAGCGGGGGTGTGGGATCCACCGGCGGGAGCTCTGGCCTGCTAAAGCACAGCTTGCAGATGCTTAGAGGTTTCTCGTGAGGGCTCGGGCCTAGTTATCCGCCGAAGCCCCAGGCCTCCGGCATTTAAGGGAGCAAAAACTCAGCATCTTTCCCCCCGCCTCAGGAAGCAAGCACCCCTTGGGGTCTTGTTTGCGTGTACTTCCGGACCCAGAGGCTGGGTCCCTCGATCCTGGGAACCCCCATGTGACCCACGGGACCTCTAAGACATGGCCCGAGACCTCCCGCACACGCTGCACTTGCCTCCACAGACGCCGAGGAAAGCTGACACAGACCTAGACCTCCCAGGACCCCCATGCAGAGAGAGGATCTCTGCGAAAATTCCTCTGCCACCCCTGTTCTCGGAACTGAAAGGCATTTTCCAGCATTTAGGGCAAGATGTGGACTATCTCTAAGGAAAAGCAGGCCGCCTTGAGGGGTTGTAGAGTGGAATTGAGGTTTTCGTTCCCTACTGTGCGCCTTTCGCGCTGCGAAAGTTGATTGGATATATGTGGTCCTGCGGAGCACGAGGCGGTGCGCGTTTGCTTGAATACTCGCCAATTCGAAGCAAAACCGATAAAGGCTGGTGGACTGAACTCCTGAGATATCAGTCCGACTGTTGTGACTTGCACACTCCGACTTGCCATCGTCACTGGTGAACACCATGGGAAACACGACACTCTTGAAACACTCTGGGCCCTGCTTTGTGGTGCTTCCACGCAGTTGCCGGAGCCGGCGGACACTTGCTTGGCCTTCAGCTGCCTGCGCCACAAGACACAGAAAGCACCCAGGCCATGGGCCATAGGCCAGCATGAATGAAAAGTGAAAAGCCAGAGGAGCTCGGTCAAAATTGCCCTCAAGGGCCCCCTAGACTCCCGAACGCCTTACACCCGACCTCAACAAAGGCATTCCGCGGAAGAAGGAAGCGCCACGGCCTTCGCAAAATTCTCAACGCCGATGGTGGCACCTCGCCGGAGGCCCTTCTTATCCTGGCGGCATGCATTCGTTGGAAGGAATTCAGAGGCTCAAGCAACTTGCCAGCTCCGGTTTCTAGAGCCGTGTTTCCACAGAAAAGTTGAGGGCACGTTAGTTCGCAAAACGGGTCAGGATTCTGAAACTCTGCAGCTTCGAGCTACGCCTGAAGCCTGACGTCTGGAGCTTCCGAGCTGTGCCTGAAGCTTGGAGCTCTGAAGCTTCAAGCTTCGCTTCGCCTGAAGTTCTGAAGCTTCTCACTTCGCCGGAAATCTGAAGTCTGAAACTTCGCGCTTTGCTCGAAGCCTAAACCTTCCGAGCTCGGCCTGAAGCCTGAAGTTTCTGAAGCTTTGAAGTTTCGGCTGCGCGCTTGGCCAGAAGCCTGGATTCTGAAGTTTCCACCTTCGCCTAAAGCCTGAACTCTGAAACTCCGAAGCTTCAAGCTAAGCGATTCGCCTGAAGCTCCGAGGCTTCAGATCTCGCGCTTGGCGTGAAGCTTAAGCAGCCCTGAAGCTTGGCGCTTCGTTTCGCGCTTCGCGCTTCACCTGAAGCCTGAAGCTCGGAAGCGGCGCGTCGTCAAAGGCTGAAGTCTGAAGCTCACAAGCTTCGGCGCTGCGCGCGTAAAAAAAGAAGCGAAGCTTCCTGAACCGCCCCTTGGCGAGCAATGGAGAAACGCTTGCAGACGTCTGCAGCATTTGGGGAATGAACAATGACTTCAAAGTGGCACTCGCCAAGCCCCGGCTCCTGGAACTTGTTCTGGTCGTAGAACAAACTCCTGCATCTGCAAGCTTTGCGACGCATCCGGTGGCGGGAGTGGGAAAATGGCAACTGCTGATCCACGGTTGGAGCCTATCTTCTTTTCTCAAGCAATGGAATACATGGCGACTCGGCGACTGCGTGTGACATGGTACCAGGCCATGAATCCTCGCTTTCACACACTGCCCCACCACCCGCTCAGCATCGCGCAGCATGACCAGCAGACGAAAGAGCAAAACAGCTTCAAGGCCAACTAAACCAGCAACCGAAGAGAAGAAAACAAAGCATTCTGAAAACACGGGAGGGTCTTGAGCTGGTCATCGTGCATAAGGATGCCGATCTCCTTGGCATTTGCGCATGCACAAATGAGCATGGGAAATCAGGAGAAGCAAGCCAACCAACCAAACACAGCCCAGACACGTTGGTCATCAACTTCAACAGACTCTGCCGGCCTCGGTGCTCAGCTCATGGGAAACATGAAGGCCCTGCTTGGCTGCCAGAGGCCCGGGCTGAACTGCAGGTTCTCTGACATGAAGGTGGTCACGGGGAGGCCATCGCCCTTTCACGATAGGATTTTGCAAGACCAATGCGACCAGCAAAGGGACACCATGCCACCCCGAGAGCGCCTCATCGTCGGACTCAATGTCCTTGGAAAGCATGGGCTCCTCCTGACAAGTTTCCGCAGCACGTGGACTGAAGGCAACCCGAGGCCGACGACTTCTCGATTTCTCAAAACACCTTTCGTCTTTGAGGCTGAGGTTTTCAGCAAGCCTTTCTTCGTGGCACACATGGGTTTAGAGACAACCTTTCGTTTTTGAGGTTGAGGCCACGCCAGGGTTTGAAACAAACATTTCATTTTGAGGTTAGGGGCACGCTAGGGTTTACAGAAACTTTTCGTCTTTGAGGTTGAGGCCACGCAAGGGTTTACAAAAAAATCTCGTGCATCTCGTCCTGAGGTTGAGGGCACGCTCGGGCTTACAGAAAAACTTTCGTTTGCAAGTTGAAGGCGCGGGGGCGGGGGTGAGGGGGGGCGGAGGACTCTTTAGTCGCACAACCCCCCCCATCCCCCCCAACCTCCACCCCCACACACCCCTCCGCTTGCTTGCACACGTGCGCACTAGATGTCTTGGTTCAAATGTTCCTGGCGAACAAAATGTACGTATTTGTGTATATAAACACACACGAGCTTTATCATAAATGCATATGTGTCCGTGTTTATTGGCATACGGGGGTGCTTCTGAACAAGTTGCGTGCCCATAAACAGACATCCTCTTCATAATATTGCAGACACCTGGTCGCAGCAAATTTTGTTATCAAGACGACAATGAGATTCAAATGGCCGGCTGAATATTGCATATTGGAAGAGACTGAAGGTTAGTTACTGGGACATTCGATGTGCCAAATGACTTTCGCGAGATCAAACCTCGCAAAATGCGGCGGCTGAATTCCCGCTTTAGCTCAATATGCACTGAAAACGCCATTGAGACATGTATATATTTTGCACTGTTTATTTTTACGGCTGAGAGGTAAACGACCGGTTAACTGTGTAAGAAAAGCCGGCCTCCAACTACGTTTTCTAACTTAAGCGAGGTTGAATTTAGACGAACTGGTAGACTCACAAGTGTTCTTCTTCAGGTTCTAAGCATAAACCTACTGGAACATTTAGTGTAGTTGGAGGCAGGCCATTTGTCCTAAAGAGCTCATTGCTAGCAATTGCCTATAATACAGTTACATGAATACGAAGAAAGAAATTCTAAGTTGATGTAAATGTTGAGTCACAGTTTGAGCAAGTCACAGTTGAGTCAAGCTGCAGCTTCAAGAGCTTCAGTCGCGTGTTTGACCCTCTAGATATGTATACTAGTCAAGCTAACTTGCGCCGACTATTGCATTAGCTTGGCAAGAACTGGCTACACTTGAGATTCTTATCCCACCAAAGATGACTACCAAACTACCACTACTACGACACACACACACACCCTTGCCACTGCCACTACCAGGAACTACCACTACCACTACGACTACTGCGGCGACGACTGCGACTACGACTACAGCTATGACGATCACCAACACCACCAGCACCAGCACCAGCACCAGCACCAGCTCCAGCACCAGCACCACCACTCACCACCACTCACCACCACCACCACCACCTCCACCTGTTACTATCAGTACTTTGCAAAAACAATAGGAGCTCCAGTACCTTAATCAACCAATGAGAACTCCGATGCAGGTCGGGGCGAGACATCCCTCAGAAGCAAGAAGCTTCCTCAGTTTCAGTGCCCGCTTATTCGCCCTATTTCAGGCCCAGGCAAACTACCTTTAAGGCAAAGGTCTCCTACATGAGGAAGCTCAGAACTGCAGCTGCAAAGCTGCAAAAAGAACACAGCCCCGACACGATCCCGGCCTCGTCGAGGCTCAGCGACTTTTCTCTCACCTGCGTTTTGGGTTCTTTCAGCTCTCACGAAAAGTGGATCTTGACAAATCTTTGTGATGCCTGAATGCTTCGCATATCTGCACACTACCCTATCTTGTCTGCTAGCTAAGGCCTGGGGAGGGGGTTGAGGGGGTTGGTTGGGGCTTTAGAGCTCCTACCTTCGCTTCCTGGTGCTGTAGGAGTCCGAACCCTAAGCCCATCCACCCGAAACGGGCTTAAACCGCTCAGGCCATCGACCCGCTTGTAGGGGGTGAGGGCCGCGAAGATCGCTGCCGTCAGCGTGCAGAGCCCACACCTTGGAGGCTCGGAGCCAGGAAGGCGTGAATCACTGGTTTAGGGTTTAGGGTTTAGGGTTTAGGGTTTAGGGTTTAGGGTTTCGGGTTTAGGGTTTAGGGTTTTGGGGTTTGGGGTTCAGGGGGTTAGGGCGTCCCCGGTTTGCACTGCAAGTCATGCTGCACCGGCCAAGTGGCGTGATTCCGTAGGGCAGGAAGTGGCCCTTGGTGTAGATGAAGCCACCGGCTGCGGGCCTGAGGACAGCATCACATGGGATGATCATGAGGCCGGAGGCCGGAAGGGAGCAGCCACACTAGCACAGAGGAGCTGGGAGATCCGACGACACTGCGCCCGCAGCGCCATCCACGAAGGACTTGATGCCCAGGAACATCCCCAGCCGATCCTGCAGAGAGAAAGGAGGATCGTTCCCGCTCGCTTTCAGCACAAGAGTGCACAGGTGCAACACACTGTCACCTGAACCATAAACTTCTCTAAGCATGAACGTAGGAAACCTGAGATTTGTCGTTTTGCGCTTCACTTCTCTGCCCGACTCTGCCCCCCCCCCCCTGCAGCTCCGGAGGTACGTGATGGTGGACCAGCGCCATGTAGCCCAGGCCAGAGATGGATCCGAAGAACCCCACAGACAGGCCTCGGGCCGGTTCAGTCTGCTCTCTGTGCGTGCATGCCTATACCTTCAGGGGCGAATGCTCCACACGCCACACAAGCTTCATGGTAAAGCTTGCCTGCAGCAGCCGTGGGTACCCAGTGAATACCCACTCCCAGGATCAGGAAGAGGGTGGTAAATCCCACGCCCGCTGTGCCTGGCACTGGAGCTGAGCAAATGTGGGGTGTTTGGACAATATCCAATAGATACTTCTTGTTTAGACGTGCTTGACTATTAGTGGTAGGGGCTGATACAGCCAGCTGCGTCAGCAGTCTTGGCGAAACCTCCGGAAAGTATCAGGAGGCTGGTCTTGCCTACCATGCATCCTCGTGTCTCACCCAGGTACTGCAGAAGCACCTCCACAGGTGGTGATGACTCTTGCAGGGGGCAGTAGTCACGGTGGTCGTTGAAACGACTGTCACTTGAGAGCACCGGCCGTGAAAGCTGGAGGAACGGGTGCACAAAAGCGCAAAAAGCAGTGTAAAAAGAAGAGCAAAGGTCAATCGATGCTGGCTCTTTGGTACTCGGGGCCCGCGCGGGCAGCAGGGGCGTCAGGACCTGTAGGTTGAGCCCACGGCGTGCTGCTTTTTCCCAACTAACGAGCAGCGCGAACAGACGGTGAGATTTTGGCAGGAGAAGTACGATATCTGCAGGAAGGCAACTAGATCACAGCAGAAAGGAGAACGCCGCAACACAGAATGTGGGACGCTTAGAAATGGAACTTCCACGCCTGTCCACACAGTGCAATAACAAAACTTCACCCGAAATCCACACTAGACTAGACTCACTAAACAAGACCAGCCAGATGACCGCCCGCAAGTCCCCATGTCGGATCTGAACCCCCAAACATGTCACACCAGTCTCGCGCTGGAGCTGCTGGGCTTGCCGGCCAGCGCTGAGATGCTGGTGACGAGCAAAAGATCCGACATGTCACCTCAGCTTCTGTGATGTAAGTTAGGTCTTCTTTGGGGTTGGAGGGGAAGCAGAGGGGATGGGGGTACGATGGGTTAAGGCCACCACTCTGGGTGAAGCCGAAGTAGTCCTTGAAGAAGACCACCTGTGCGGGATGAGAGCAACGCCTCAGCCTTCAGAACGTGAAGCCTCGAGCTACTTACAACGTTCATGGGTTGGGATGTTCCCCCTTATACTAACACTCCTTAATAGGGAGTATACCTCCCTACTAGAATCCCTATTAAGGACTGTTAGTACAAGGAGGAACATCCCAACTCATGCGTGTAGGGCGGTTTCTTGCAACAAGTTGACCTCTGGACCCTCCGTGATGCCGAGGCTGAAAGTGAAGACACAGGAAGCGAACAGCCTCAGAGAGCTCCCCCGGCTACGTAGAATTTCGGGGTTCAGGGGGGGCTCTTTGGCCCTGTGAGGCCTTGCGATGCTTCAGAGATTGTTGAGATTTTTGAGGGTTTAGGGTTCCACTCCACACGCATCGCTGCACAGGTGTGCACAAACAAGGATCGGACAGGATGCCGGTCTCTCTCCCGGTCAGCAACCTGCGCTCAAGCAGTAGACACCGCCATGCGTACATCAAACCGAGCAACTGAGCCACATAACCCCCTTGCGCTGCCCGGCCCAGGGTTCAGGGAGCAACAATCCAGCAACCCAGGGATTCGCACTCTCGTCTGCGACGCGGAGGCGCGAACTGCATTGTGCTACACCTGCCAATCCGCAGCCTCCACCACCGAGAAGCTGCCTTGCTTCCTGGCTCTGTGGCGACATGTTGCGGGAAGCAGCTTGGCTTGGTTTCGGTAACTGTCAGGCTGTAGTGTTTTTGAGGAGGAGAAGGTACCCAGAAGGTACCGTTTGCTTTTGCCGGCAGCAACTAAGCGCTGAGTGGCTGGGCTTACACGGTGCGCTCACGATGCAAACGATGCTGACGATGCAAACGATGCACATTGACAGCTCGAAAGTCTAAGAATGCTCTAACATGCTCCCAAGCACTTCAAGAGCTGACGGCCTGAAGCCCAAAAAGGACTACGAAAGGACCACATGAAATCACCGATTCTCTATCTTCCACAGGCCTGAATAGAGGGTCGGCGAGAAGGCTTGTGGCGAGAGGGCCCTGTCACCAAGAACGGGCCGAGTGGCAAAAGCAGGCTTGCAGCTCATACTCGCAGAGATGCCCAACAGCGCAGGGCAAGCCACCATGAGCTGCATCGGCCGGCCTTGTCGGCGAGTTTGTGGGTGAGCTGGCCTTCGGATCAAGATGGATCAGAGGTTCGACTGGAAGACGCTTGGAAGCGCGTGGCCATCACGGTTGGAGTTGGGTTCGTGCAATGACCCTTGCGAGCGTGGAATGCCCATGCGTTCAGGGAGAGAGTTGTTTGAAAGCACTCCTTTTTGGTATGCCCCTGGCACTTGGCACGTTCTCATTGGGTTCAGCGAAAACCTCCGCAGCCGGTGGTCCGGGTTCTGTCTACAACAAGCATGAGCATCTCAACAGCGTCTGGTCCAGGAAGATGTCTAGGAAAGATTGAAATCCTTAGCATCATCCATGGGCAGATTGGATGTTCAGCAGAATGCACTTCACGCAGCACATCATTAGCCTGCCGACTGTTCAGTTTAACAGTTCCTAGCTGACTCGAGCTTCAAATAATTCAATAGCGATGTAAGGGTTAAGGTTCGCAGCAACATGGATGCTGAATCTTCCGTCCGTGCTGCCAAGCTGCATACAAATCTGCAGCCCTTGTCCGTAGCCTTCTGAAACGCCAACCACTACCGAGGCCTCGAAGGCCTCACACACCTTGGGCATGCTTAGTTGGGGGAAAGTTCGAGCGGGGAGGGGCGCCGACAGTCGAAGGGAGAACATGTGCAGAGCTGGGCAATGGGCCTTCTGGAACATGAGCCAAAAAGATCATACAAACCCAAACCCTCATGATCCCTCCCCATCCCACCATTTGTCGCCGGAAGGCCTCTCTTGCCGCTGGCAGCTTCCAGTCGCTCAGACCGGCCATAGGGCCCAAACGAGTCCTCCAAGGGTTCCTAGTCGCGAACATGAATACCGGCTACTGGCAGGAACCCGGATTAGGATGCTTTACTGTAGGAACTTTAGGAACATTGGGAACATGGCTCTCCATACTTGTAACTCCCTGGATCTCCCTGGCGTTTGTGGCTCAAATGCAGCCGCTCCAGTCCTTCGGCGCCCCGAGCACGGCAGTGCTGACGATCCGCTTGTCCTCCTCCTGGGGGAAGCGCGTCGGGGCATTGCTACTAGTGCTGGTGTTTAGGTGTTGACTGGTGTTGGGGGGTTAGGGCTGCTGCAATAATTACTGAGCCCGGACCACATCCCTAACTCAACAAAGCGCTCATCCCAATCCTTGGTGAACTCTCGGCGGCCCTTTTTCGGCGCTCCGCCAGCCGCCCCGGACTTGCCCGCGGAGGCCTGGACACCGGAATGCTACAACGTCTACAATCCACAGCATGCTGCCCTGTTGCCGCGCTGCCACATTGCAATACTCATCCCTCTCCCTCAACTCCTCCTGCTCCTGATGCTGCCCGATCCTGCCCCTGATCCTGCCACTGCTCCTGCCACTGCTCCTCCTGCTACTGCTGCTGCAGCGACAACGATGACCCAAGCAAAGTAATACTATGACTGTCGTGCAGTGACCAGTACTGCACACGCACCGTGTTGGGTGTTGCCGTATTCACTGATGAACAAAAAGAGCAACAAAGACCCCACGCTGTTGCCCCCCAAAAACGGATCGCGTTGTTCCTACGGAGATGCTCTCCACTGCAACTTGATCGTCTCACTCCCCGCTGGCCAGCCTGGACCCAGCGAACACTGTAGAGCACCGGCTCCTGGCAACAAAAAAGAAGAGGGCACTTGGGTTCATGCAGTGGCTTCAGTGAGCTAGAGGGCCTATCCTCTTGCGACCATGAGGGATGGGGATCAAACTGCTAGGTTTCATGCGTGCACTTAAGAATGTCTACTGAAACACCTGCAACCCTGCACGGAAGCTGTCGGTGCTAGAGCGCCCTGACTGACATGGGCGAATCCGAAACAAGCGCATAGGAACAAAAACCCACGGAATGGAAAACGACTGGCAAGTTCGACGACTGCAGCAGAACGGTTGCATCCATGTAGAGAGCATCGGCTTTGCAACGTCGCTCCGACCGCCAAGGGCATGTCAAAAAAGCTAGACATCAATGTTTCATGTGTTTCGATCGGTTTCAGCATCCTGAATTTCTTTGCAGACAAGACATGGCATACCATCTGCCACATGCTTCCCTTCCAACGATATCAAGACTGTGCGATCGCTACGACCAGGTTCGCAGAAGTTCGGGAAGTTTCGCCAGCTGGGGGTTTGCGAAAATTGGGGACCCTAAAATAGACCCCCAAATAGTAGGATCCCCTTCCAATAAGGGCCCCTAATTTCGGAAACCCGCAACTCTCGCGCAGGGCGCCCGCCAGCATGGCAAATCGACCCAGGCAAGGGTTGTCGCCACAGTCACCACATCTAAAGTAAAGCTTCCGAGGATGGGCCAATGGTAGGCTGCATGGAGCCAGTTCCTGGCATTTCTACGAAGCAAATGCCTGCCAGCACTGGCGAGGTACGAGTCGCGGACTCGCTGCCTTTTTCCATTCGGGGTACTGGTGCTGGTCCGGCCCAGAGCCAGCCGCCAGCCATGCGGGGTCCAAACCTCCTCTCGGATCAGCGAGCGGCGAATCGGCCCTTGCTGTGCAGCAAGCAGCTGCTTCTTGACTTTCTTCACACCCTTGAACAGAAACTTGATTGCACGGGCGAGACGACGGCATCGGAACCGGCAAGCCAAAAGGTGGGATGAGAGCTCCGGTGTGTCGTCTGGCATGGACCGCGCAGTGCGATGGCTTACTGACCAGTTTAGCTGCAGAAGATGTGGGGAAGTTGCCTGGCGGCTCACAGAGATTGGCATCCCAAAGGAGCTGGAACCCTGTGACCCCACATTCCCTGGCAGACGCTGCGCGCTGCCTGCCCCGCATCCTCTGCGCATAGGCTGAACACGCGTGTTGGCCCCAAGAATGTGATCAAAAACGAGCCTTCTCAAAACTGCCGATACGAACGATACGAACTGCCGATACGAATCTCCCCGCCAACCCCACACACTCGGGGCCTGTAGGTCCAGTCAGAGTTTAGGGCTTGGGGCAATGCTGCATGCTCGTGTTTTGGGGCTACTGTTGATAGCAGTCGGAGAGTATGGCATGCCAGTATGCTTGGCACAATCAGCAGGGGTCCATCAGCAAAATGCCCTAAACCCTAAACCCCCAAACCCTAAACCCTGAAGATTGTACTCCGGAGGCGCGGCCTTCTCCGGGGCCCCCAAGGCCAGGCCACCGCCGCCCGGGCCCCCAGCAGCTGCCGCCTTCGGCGGCGCCTTGCCGCCGCCTGTCAGTTGGGAGGGCAGAGTTGCGTTGAATTGGGGGTTTAGGGGTTTAGGGGGTTTAGGGGGTTTGGGGGTTTGGGGGTTTGGGGGTTTGGGGGATCGGGGGTTGGGGGTTTGGCGGGTTTGGGGGGTTGGGGGGTTTGGGGGTTTGCTACAGGGTTTTGCATGGGGCTTGGGTTGGCTTTGTGGTCTGCCGGTGGTGTTGGAGCTTCCGGGTGTGTACCTTGAGTCCTCGACCGAGCGAAATTCACGAATCGAGGCGCTTGAAGTTTAAGCTCTGAATGCCAGTTGGGGACTTTGCTTCGGTTCAAATCCCCCAGACCTGCAGCTCTGCTCTCGAAGGCGTCGAAGAAAGCTAAGGTCACCTGGCATGGCGTTGGGGGAGTCAAGTGTGGAGTCAGATGCCACTGCACGTTGTGCGAGTCCACTGGCAACCCCCCCCCCCCCCCCGCCTTTCCCTCCTTGGAAGAGTCCAGCTTAATCAGCTCAATGTCTGAGATGTTCGAGATCTGCCGTGGTTTCCTTCAGGGAAAACTTATCGAGGCAGTCGAACAAGCCCTGCTTCGTTCAGGTGCAAGTTATCAGAAGATTCGCCATACCTCTCTCAAAGCCATCTCGGAACCCCACTCGCCTGGGCGCACGTTCGCGCTTCGCTCCACCCTTGGCCACAGTTGCGTCTGTGCGGCGCATGGCAAAGCCCCGGAAGTCGTCAAGGTTTTGTCGGCCTTCCGTGTTGAGGCATCTGAAGGGAGCGAAAGGCGTGAAATCCAAAGCCACTTGAGCTTGGGTCAGCTCGGAGCCTTTCTCGTAACCCTCCACATGGTCGAGGAAGTCTTCAATGGAGTCCTCACCCTGAGGAATGTTGGTCCAGGATTTGGCTAGCTTCTAATCTGCTTCACGGACGGAGGCAAGGAACCTGGAAGTCACCGGCCGACTTGAACAGATCTCTGGACTCCTGCAGGGACAACTTCCCAGCTTTGTGTAATGCTTTGTGGGTTGCGAGCCGTCTCTGCACATCATACAATCATGGACCACCTTGAAAATCAGACCCTGCCTTGGCACAGCGCTTCGCCTCCTCGAAGTCTTGGCGGCCCAGGTGCGCGCCGGACTGGAGCATCATGGATCCAGCCTCCACAACACCAAGCGTGAACGTGAACCAGCACTCTCACTGCCTTGCACCGAAAGCGGCACAAGTATATGCAAGAGCAGCCCGTTCGTCCCTGGCCTCGCCGGCAGTGTCTCGAAGGGCTCTGAAGGCTGTCTCGGAATCCTGGCTGGCAGCTGCTCCATGTCTCCATGTCGGATGTCTTGTTGCAGGATGCAACATGATGTCACGACACGTCTCACCAACACGCGCTACAGGCCTGCGCCGTCTTCAGGGCGTCGTCGAAGTTCTTGGTCATGAGGTTTGCGTTTGCCAGGATGTGCAGACTGATGGCTGTCTGCATCTTTTCCCCGAGCTCCTGTTCCAATGACCCTGGCAAATGGTGTACACGTGGTAACGCTCATGACCAGCCAAATATCTCGCTTAATTTCCTGTCCACACCCCGAGGAGCAGCCGTCTTTCGACCCTAACAAGCTCCGGCCCCGCTCGCTCTTGCATGGCTCCTGGTAGAGCTGCACTGCCTCTTGAGCAGCCCGGAGTGCCTCCTGTTTTATGGGGCCGAGAACATCAATATGGCAAAACTTCGATGTTTGGATTTTAGCTGACTGGAGGTCCGGTGGTGGTGGGACGGTGCCGGGCAACAGCCTTCGGATGTCCAAAGCGTGGAGCGCAAACTAAGTCTCAAACATCTGCACCGCCAGTTGGAGTCTCTCCGAAATTTGCATACGACGTACAGGTCCTGCGGGTTGCCCTGGCCCACGGATGCGAGCGCGAAGTGCACGTCAGAGACGAGCTGCGCTGCCTTAAATGGAGCTGCACCTAGTGCACACAACCTGCACAGAACAAATGGGCACGCCAGCTTCGACATACCTGTGCAAGTCACAGCTCAAAAGCCATCAAACCCTATGAAACCCTACATACACCCGGAGCTGGGAGCACACAACGGTCCAGGCAACTGGGCAACCCCGCCTCGGCCCGGCCGCGCTTGTCTCCGAGCTTCCTGCATTGTAAGGGCTGGAGGTCCGCAGCAAAGCCGCATCACGTGGGGGTTGCTCCCAAACTTGGGTCTGTTTCGTAGATAGAACAACCCGCATGTCGTGGGGAATGTTGCACACGAATGCGCGCTTGGCCTTCAGCAGATCTGGCCCAAAACCCTCAAAAGAAACCCTTAAAACCCTGAATCCGCAGCGACGTCAAGCCCCAGGCCTGTAGGCCAAGGCACACTCCTCGGCGGCACGCTGGGCCTGCTGGACATCGCCTGAGGGCAGATCAACATCTTCTTCTATCAAGTCTACTACTGTTGCTGTTGTTGTGGCTTTTGCTGTTGCTACTGCTATTGTTATTGTTGTTGTTTTCGGGTTTGGGGGGGTTCTAGGGGCGTATGATTCAGGGATCGAGTTACGCAAGTTCTCTGAGGCCACTACAGATCAGCTGACAAGAAGGGCTCTACACAAAAACGCACACCCCACCTTTGCCCATGTGGATCTTGGCAATACCCAGCCAGGCTTCGCCTTCGCCTTTCCGGTCGCCTGCACTCACTTTCTTCGGACCCGTCACTGGGCCTCATGGGTCTGCACAGGGTTGCTCATTCTGGTATGAAAGACGAGTGCTGAACGAACTACACCCATTGCAATGGCGGAGGGGTGGGGGGGGGGTGGTGCAGAAACCTAACATCGGAGCAAATTCCTCCTTCAAAGCTTCCTCGAACTTCGCTGCGTGCCTACAGCCAGGAAGAGCGCCGGGCACTGAACGAGGCAGTTCAGCGCTTCCTCCGTTTGGGCAGTGTGCTCGTGCTGTGCTGTCGAAAGAAGGCATGCCTGGCCATCTTATGTTCAACACGCTTCTGATCGCGGCTTGTACTTTGGATTTCGACTCTTGAACTCGAGAAGTCGATCCTGGCAGTCTCTGGCTCCTATGCCAGAACCCAAAGCAGCACAATGCCCCAGGCCGGAAATCCGGCGCAGAGGGTATGACTGATATGTGCACATCAGAAATGACAAGCAGTAACAACCACAAGAACAAGAACCCGAACACCCGATAACAATAACAATAACTTGAACGGAATAACAATAATAACAATACCAACATTACAGATGACAGTAACAGCAGAGCTTGTAATGACAATGATAGTGACGAAGAAGATGATAATGACAATGGCAAAAAAAAGCCGAAAGATGAACATGATAAAGAGTATGATAACAAGCGGCGAAGAGGAGCGAAAACTGATCGGCACAGAAGGACTCCCATCCCCCGATCACCGCCTCGAGGTCTCCCCGGAGCTGATGCAGCTTCCCCTCAGATTCATGCGATGTTTATATGGGGAGTGTTAGGGTACAGATCAGGGGCTTCCCCAAGTGCCTTTAGGAATGCTGCATGCTTCGTGGAGAGGATACCTCAGAGTGCCTAGGGCGGTCCGGGGCGCCATCATCAGGAACGCCGAGCCCTCGCCCTTCTTCTCCTTGCACGCAATGGGATCCGGCAACAGCGCTCAACCATGGCAGTACGAACCGTAAGCCCCCAGATCAGTCACCAAGCTTGCAGACCCTGAATCCCGTATGCAAGTGTCTTGGCGATCAGGTCTCCACAGCAGTCCCTCAAGAGTCACCAACCTCTGCCCTCTCGCGGGGCAGCTCCGACACCACTTCTTCTGAGAGCTATACTGGGTACTGAGTACTCTGCTGCCAGGCCCTCTCCTTGATGCTCTTGAAGCGGCGCTGCTGCTCCGAAGCCAGGCGCATTCCCTCGTCAGCACTTCCTTAGAGATTTTGCCCAGAAAGAACCAGAGATGATGGCACGAACCCCAACATCCTTGTTGCACCCCAAGGCCGGTGTACTCCCTTCCTCCCAGCATTCTCAGCCCCTCCATGTCTGCACCGGGTTACCCATGGCAGCGTGGGCGTCCACCATGGCCTGTCAAGCAAAGTCGTTCCTCCATCCACCCTAAGCCCCCCATCTGTGTACACCAGGCTCTCCTGGCCGTTTTGATGCCGAGGAGGGACCCTTCTAAGGGACCTTAAGAGGCATGTAGGGGTTAATAGTTAACACCAACACACCTGAACCCTAACCCCGAAACTAGGGATCCTACACCCCAATGGACCCCCCAACCTCAGACTCCGAAAGTCATCACATGGGTTCTAAACTCCAAACCCTGAAGCAGCCTAAGGCAGACCGGCCTTGAGGCACTTGATCTCTGCGTCTCGCGACGCACGGCTCGGGAAGGCCTGCAGTGGAAGGAGCTCTTCTAACTAGGACGGAGCATTTGGACAACATACGTAATATTGTGAGAGTGGGAGTGCGAGAGCGAGAGACTTGGGGCTTGGGGCTCAGGGGTTCTGGGGGGGTTTTCGGCTTGAGAGCGTGTCGGGAGAGCAGTCGCTTCATTCAAGAAGAAAGAGGAGCACGCTGCCACCGTCAGCATCCTAAACAGTATCCCCTCAGATCGCGCCTGGTTTCGGTATAGACCGCAAGCCTGGAGCACAGTTTGGGGTTTCGGGTTCGGCAGGGCTGCACAGACTTGCAAGCAGTGCTACAAGTGGCAGCAGCAACCTGCTCGGCGGATCGCAATGCCTCGCCAGGCTCCTCCTGCAAGCTGCAACGACTCAGCCATCAACTTACGTGCAGTGTTGGAGTCACGTTAAGCGACAAGCCGCCATACTCACCTCCCAATCCTCCCAATGTTGCTCAGGCCCCCTACGACTCATCCAACCTTCTCCAGCCGGATGAGGGCGGATGCCAGGAGCGCCTCTGCCGACAATGCACGGAAGGGCAGGATGGGAAAGCGGCTCTTCCAACCGTCAACCTTCCAATACACGTTTCCTTTCTGCATGTTAAACCCCAAGCCCTTGTCCCCGAAACACCACCCCCCAAGACCGAAAGCTCCCAAACCCCATACCGGAAAGCCCCCTCTGTAAACCCCTACTGTAAACCCCTAAACCCTAAACCCTAAGCCCTAAACCCTAAACCCTAAACCCTGAACCCTGAACCCTGAACCCTGACCCCTGAACCCTGACCCTAGCTGGCACTGGCATAAAGCAGAGCCTTGGCTTCCACGGTGCGGTCGTTGGAGGCCTGGCTCAGCTGGAAGGGGATCCAACCCTCAGAGGGACTCAGGGTTTGGGGTTTAAGGGCTTCGGGTTTTGGGGATTGTTGGGTTGGGGTGGGGTGTGGGCGTGGGTGTGTACAAAGGGTCCACAGACCGCTTCTGGCACCTTGGGATGGATCTAGGCCAAGCCTGAAGCCCGACGCCTTCGTCAGAAGAGAGCAAGGACTGCAGGCCAAACGCAAACCCCTAAGATCCCGCACCCTAACATGATAAACCCCTGAAGCCCTCCCAAAACCTAACCAAATTTTCCAAACCCCAAAACCAGAGCCCACTTTTCAGAGGGAAAAAAGCTGCCTGACCACACACCCCCCCCCCACAGAAGAATGTGGCTGGGTGCCTTGGCGCAAGTGACGGCCTCTCCGCGCGGCGCTTTTAGGGCTCAGGCGATCTCTAAGCGGGTTTGAGGGTCGTTGGGGGGCTTTCTTGGATTTGGGTTTTGCAGGCCTTTGGGGTTCCTCGCAAGCTCCCGTGGTGCCATGCACAGCTCCTTGAGCCCTCAATGCCGCGCCTCCTGCGCAGCGCGCAAGGCCTGGTCGAGCTCCTTGCTGTCCTCGCCGATGGTCACAATGTAAGGTGCTTGCAGGTTCGGCCGCAGGTCCCAAGCGCTCCTTGTGGATCTTGGCGATGGCCAGCATGACAGATGCCTCTTCCTGCAGGCAGAGGAGGATGGCAAAGATGGACGACCAAAAGCCATGACAGGAGTCATGATGAGTCATGATGAGTCATGTGGCCCCCGCGCGCCTTCTTGTCACCTGCCTGCCTGAACTTGTCTGCAAGGCTCTGGCCCTCACGAAGTGCGTCCGCGGGGTCCTGGCTAGCTCCCACTGTCCAGCCCGCCCAACCTGGTCTCAACCCCTGCTGCGGGACGACCTCCTTCGCCATACAAGCGGCGCCCATGGCCTCGAGGGCCTCGCTCTCCTGCCATCGGCCCAGACTGATCCCTCGAATGGGGACCCCCAACCCCTTAGAGGGAGGGGGGGGGGGGGGGGGGGGGGGGGGGGGGGGGATGCTGGAATTGTAATTTACAAAGCGGGCCCCCCTGATTTGCGGCACTCCTCGGACGCCAGCTATGATAATTGTAAGTAAAAACCGTTTTACAGTTATGCGCCCCATCCCCCAGTTTACATTTTTGAGGGGGTTGGGGGTGAATGGGATCACACGGAGCGCATCGGAGCGCAAAGAGGCCCGGCCTTGGACTTCAGGCCCATGCTCTGATACAGCTTCAGGGCCTTTGGCGGCAGGGCAGGTGCGGCCAAGTGCTGCCAAGTTGTCCCTTCGCCCTCGCCGGGAGCCTCCTGAGCTGCGGCCACACCGGTGGCAGACTCGGCCGCAGAGCAGAGCCCCGCAGCCTCGACAGCTCGACAGCGTCACGGCTGAAGGAGGATATGGTGCACATCACAATGACGTGGTGTTTTCAAAATGCTCTATGACATGAACACATGTACGTATGAACATACACATGACATAGACACGCAGTGACACACGCGCACAGCAAGTCCCCGCCTTGGCAACAAGGCACTGAGCCTTTGCCTCCAAGAGTTTCTCGCCAAGGGCCCTGGGAGCGGCAATCCCATGAAACATCCTTTCGGGGGTCTGGTGCGCACAGGGCTCTGGGATTCGAAGGAAGTATGTTGGTGGCCCTGAGGGCAGCCTTTCGCCTTCAACCCATGATTCGAAGGCTCATGGGCAGTTGTCTGTAAGGTTCATACTCCACTTACAAGTAACACCGTACCTTCAAGTAGACTCGGCAAGTGTTGCCCAAGTGTGGAAGAGTCAGCAGATGCAGTAGTTGCAAGGGCTTTTTAAGCTGATGATGCTGTTTCTGTGGATCTCTCACATCCAACCGGTGCCCTGCCAACGTACAACTCCATCTGACACCGTCAACATACTGGACAACTCTGTCCCCAGAGGCCCGCGCTTGGCGACCGTCAGTGCCTCCTGCGCCGATCCGAGGGCTCGCTTGCCAGCCCCTTGGATGAGGTTGGCCTCCCATCAGGTTGAGCCCCGAAACCAGGAAGACTCTGCGGTGGCGAGCAGGCGAGCGCAGCCAAACAGGAGGCCTCGGTGATGGTCGCGAGGATGTCATACTCACGCATCCTGCTGGGTTTGGACTTGTTGGCTCCACGTCCAAGGGGCCTTCGTGTGCCCATGTGCCCCAAATAACACACCATCCCACGGTCCTGTCTCCGACTTGCCGGGAGAGCTTGAGACCCTCGGTGGCCCGGAAGACGCAATCGTCGGTGCTATCCTGAAGCCAAGCATCGCTGCCCGTGCAACCACGAGCCCCGACTTCATCCCCTCTTCCCAAAAAACCTGCCCTTTGCAAGAGAAGCTCACGAGCAGCGCACAAGTAGAGAGGGCCTTCCCCAGGTGAGCCAAGGCGATGCTGTGGATGGCAGCCACCTGGCCCTTTCCGTGGCCGATCTCCTCCCGTGCTGGTGTTTCTTGCACATGACATGGGTTCTGTCGCAGTCTGCCCCCAAAACCCCTCCTTGAAGGTCTTCAGAGACTGGTTGGCGGCTTGCAGCGCGCCAAAAGCATCCACGCCAAGGGAGGCCACCGCAACGGCACGCAGGGCCGTGGCCTCGCCTTGGCCAAGATCGTGGAGGTGGGGTTTTTGGCTTATCCTGTCCAGTCCCTCCAGGCTTATCCGGAAAAATCCAGGCTTCTCCCAAAACTGCCCCCCTTCTTCTCTCAAAGCGCTCAACGAGGGCGGAGAGTGGGGGTTGAGGGCTTTGGGGACTGTCTTTGGGGGGGCCCCTAGCACAGAGGCCAAGAGGCCCTCCGGAGAGTTGCTCTCCCGAAAGCTGGCCAGGGCTTCCTTGGCATTCCTCAGGAGCCAGGGTTGAGGGTTTAGGGTTTAGGGTTTAGGGTTTAGGGTTTAGGGTCTAGGGTTTAGGGTTTAGGGTTTAGGGTTGCATGGGCAAGCAAGACAAGGCGAAAGACTTCTCCCGCACCGACTCTCACATCTCTAGAGCTCCGATTGCTGACCACGCTTCTTGAGCGCATCCTCGGACTGAGGATTCTCCATCTGGAGCTGAGCCAAGGAAGCCTGTGCAAAGGGTGCAAGATGCTTGCAAAGGGTGCAAGATGCTTGCGAACATGTTCAGGAAAGAAAAGGGGCAACGAACGGCCTTCACCAGCGCGGCAGCTTTCGCTGCGCCCGAGAGCTTCTGCGGAGCTTCGGCGGCCGCCTGTCAGAGCTCAAACTCGCAACCTCGCCATCGCTTTTGAGTGTGTGAGAGCAGCATCTGCAGGTGTGGCCAGCTCAATTATCCGTGAGAGGTCCAATGTTTAGTTGCATTGGCAATCTATGTCGAGATCTGATATGCAGCGCGACGAAGAGCATCAGAACAAGGCTCTCGCGTCTTTCGGCCTTCAGCGCCGCTTCCGGCTCTGGCTTGGAGCTGCTGAGGTCGGCCACGGTGATGGGCGTCAGCCTTGGCATCGCTTTTAAGGCTCCGGAAAGCTTCGGGAGGTTCAGGCTTTCGGGAGGGTTTTGGGAGTGTCGGCTTAGGGCCAGAGGGCTCAGAGCTGAGGGCTCGGGAGCGTGGACTGGGGGGGCAGTTCCCGGCTGGCGAGGCATTAAAGAGGAGCCTAGGGGCTTCTCAGTCCAGCTCGCTCCGACCTCCTTGGCAAGGTCCATGGCCTGAGTTACAAGGAAACCAAAGCAAACGGCCGCACCGGGCGCAGATCCACCAACTGCGGAAGCCGAGTTGCAGCTTTCAAAGTCGTGCCGGAAGCCTTCGCAGGGTCTCCCTCTGTTTTGCGTATTTGACATCGGTTGAAGATGGACAAACGAGACATGACGAGACCCTCCGGCCTTGCCCGCGGCCGTCTTGGCCAAATCGGCAGCCTGGAAGCTGCACCACTTCCCAAGAACGGGGGAAGGGGAGGGGGGGGAAGGGGGGATGTTGGGTCTGTTCATGGCAGCTCTTCTTGGATATTGGGTTCGGATGAGCTGGAGGAACACCATCCCCCTCTGCACACTTCTCTGGGTTGTTGGGTCGGGCCCGCATGTCACCTCTGCGCCTCTGTATGATCCGCTGTGCTCCAACAGAAGTTTAGAGGTGTCGCCCGAGCCTTTGTTTGCAACCTTGTCTCATGTCTTAAAGCAGTGTGGAGAGAGAGAGAGAGAGAGAGAGAGAGAGAGAGAGAGAGAGATCCATTAAATCAACTCCGGGATGGGAAGCACAACCTCCGCTTCCGCCTTGCCCCAGGGCCCAGAGTCGCCGCCGCTTCCACCAGCTGCCAACAGCCCGGCAGCCTGAAGAAGGAGGCGAAGGCTTTTAAGGGGCCTCTGGGGTTGCTTTAAGTAGGGCTAAGAGTGGGTTCAGGGCTTAAGGGTTCATGGGTTCATGTAGGGGGTTTAAGCGGTTTAAGTGTTTTCAGGTCAAGGAGCGCACACGCACACACACACACACACACACACACACACACACACACACACACACACACACACACACACACACACACACACACACACACACACACACACACCGCTGGTCTTGTTCTACAAAGCGAGAACCCTTACTGCAGGCTACTGCACCTCGAAACTTCCTGAAGCACCTGCCTCTCTGCGAATTCCGTGTGATAGGCATGAGGCAGGGCAGCAGGCACAGCACGGTGTCTCTGCTGGCCAAAGGCTGCAAAACGATTGAGAGGACTAGCTCAGTATTGACCATTGTGTAGGTGATCATGATCACACTATAGACTCTACAAACCCTAAAGATCCCCAAGTCCCTTCTCTCCCCTTCCACCCCCCTCGCTCCCCCGAGCCTCGCTCCAGGTTGCGCCCAGGCCACGAAGGGCCTCGACGAAATCTGGGCCTCTGCAACAGCGCAGCTGAGATAGCTGAGGGGTTGTTGAAGGATTGTTTCTTGGAGGATGAGGGATTGGGGTTTTACAGCTTTATAAACCTTGATTAGGTGTTCAGAGCGCCTGTCTTGCCGAGTTGGGCAACAGCCGCAGTAACGGCTCCCGCTGCTTCAAGCATCTTCATGCCATTGTCTTTGCCCTGCAGAGGGGAGTCATGTCTGCTGAACCTTCGCAGTCCAAACATGCCTAAGTCCCAACTTCTGCACGCCACACCAGCCTTTTTCTGAAGGTCCGTTCCCAGCTTGGCAGCATCATCGGCTTTCTTGCCTGCCTAGAGCTCGGAACTGTTAGGCCCAGGCCCAAAGACTATGACAAAAACAAGACCTACTTCTGGCGCATGCCTTATGCTGTGACCCCGTTGGCCCTCACCAAATCCCTGAAAGCAGCAGCATTTCTTGCAATTCCTGTCCGAGCCCGGTGCCAAAAGGTCCAGGGCATTTGCCCAAGTGGTCGCTGCCTGGCAGAGCAAGCCACAAGCCCTCATCGCTCAACCCCAAGAAAACCCTTTGCCTCCCCTATGGGTGCCATGGCTGCAGATATCTTCGTCGTAGCGCTAAGAGCCGGAGCTGCGGAGAGTTTTGAGGATCGAGGCGCGCATCTTGCACACTCGCACTACGAACCAACCCCAAACCTTGGTGAATACGAAGTGGCACGAAGAGCCCTGCCCCCTCCAAGCTTCACTGCAGAGACTACGCACAGAGCACCCAAGTGCACCGCCTGGGTCACCTCATGCTCCTGCAGAAATCTTGAGAGTGATCTGAGGTCTGTACAGGGTGCCAAGAAGGTCTAGACTCTCAGGTTCCATTGTTGCTCTGGTTCCTGCAATGATAACGACGGTTTGTGCCAGAACTAGCCTGTCATAGTCTATGGGAAGTCTCGGAAGGAAGCTAGGCATTGCAAAGGAGCGCAGTGGCCCTGAATTCGTTGAACTTCCTGCAACTGCTCCTCACATTCAAGTGCTTGTATAAGCCGTTACCCGTTACAACATACACTCCCAGCTGGAGCATGGCTCTTTGTGTTTGACCATGTGACATCATCAGCCGTCGCACAATTGCAGCTGCTGGTATGCGGCGCACCGAGAAGAAGAAGATGGCAATCAATGAGCCAACCTTGGTTGGAAAAGAACGTTCAGCAAATAACAATGTGAAGGGTACCCGCCCCAATTCTTGAAAGGTCGTGAGGCTCAGACGACTGGCAAGCGGTTCATGCTAGCAAAAATCGCTTCCCTCCTGGTGGCGCCTGAACCAACCGTTGAACCTTTCCAGGCCGCCAGGTAGCGAGGTTCGAGGCCACGATGAGGTAGCACCTCGGAAAACGCGAGGGTTTTTTTTTTAACAACCCTTCACAAGCGCGAGGGTTTAGGGTTTAGGGTTTAGGGTTTAGGGTTTAGGGTTTAGGGTTTAGGGTTTAGGGTTTAGGGTTTAGGGTTTAGGGTTTAGGGTTTAGGGTTTGGGGTTTGGGGTTTGGGGTTTAGGGTTTAGGGTTTAGGGTTTAGGGTTTAGGGTTTAGGGCGTCTCGCCGCGCGGCGGCAGTAAGTACCATGTGTAAATGGCCGCTGTGAGCTTTCACAGGCCACCACCCAAAGCATTGCCTTTTAGGGTTTAGGGCTGTCGCCCACAATTCCCACCATTGCTTTCCCATGGCGTGGTGAAAGCAGCGGGGCGGGGGCCAGAAGTCCAGGAGGGGGGGGGGGGGGCAAGGGGGGGCAGGGGGGTCAGGGGGTCAGGGCGGCTCAAGGCGGGGCCGGAGGGCCAGGGGGGGGCCAGGGGGTCAAGGGGGGGCCAGAGAGGTCAGGCGGTTTTTGGCTCCGGAAGGGGTCCCCCCATGGCAGACCCTAGATTTCAGGATTTTCGGGCCAACGACTCTCAGGAAGGTTCCCAGGGGGGTCCCCTGGCCGACGTCGTTCTAGGGCTTGGCCGTCGTTGCGTTTAGGGTGTTCCAATCAAGGGGAATATCGGAGTACTCCTGTGTAAATATAGGCGCCACTCTGGTGGCCTAGTGGCAAGGCGAGGTTTAGGGTCTCTCTATTCGACCACTCTCCAATGGCTCCACCCATTGTCCATCCAGTAAAGGTGTCCGTCACTGCCGGGTATCTTCTGGGTCCAGGCACCCTTGTAAAGGGTGGGTACGGCCTAAGCAGGCCGGGTGGGTGTTTAGGGTTTAGGGTTTAGGGTTTAGGGTTTAGGGTTTAATTAGGGTTTAGGGTTTAGGGCCTCGCGCATCTTGGAGTCATTCCCGTCTCTCTGCGCTAAGCCGGGCGCAGGTCTTGGAAGCTCAAATGGGAGAATACCTCCGGGGCGCTTTTGCAGAGGAGAACCCACAACCTTCAAGGAATCTAAGAGAGGGGACGAAACCGGGAACCCTAAGGAATTTAAGAGAAGGCTTCTTCCCTACGAAACTTCAAGGTTCCAATGCCTTGGCGACCACAGGGCCGAGGATGGCGCCTGGAATCAGGGGAAACACGTCGAAAGGAGGGCAGCACGGGGCATGGCGTTTTGGTGTTTCGTTACGTTCTGTTTCTTTGTAACGTGCCCGTTGTACTGGGAAGCGTTGCCGTCGAGGTGGCCAACACTTGAACATACAGGTGCGGGACAAGGACAATGAAGCCAAGCCGGCCTAGGGTCACCACAATCCGCTGGAGCACCAGCACCTGCACCGGAACATGTTAAGTTCCCTCCGTGATTTGACACTTGTTTGGGGGTTCGGTCCCCTGCTTGCTCTAACACACGGCCCCACTCTTCAGTGACGCTTCATGACTTTTGTGGCCTCCCGCAGTTCCTGCTCCGAGGAGGTCTCCTCCTGCGACGGGGTTCCCCAAGGTCTTGGGAGCTTAAGTCGAGGCTTTTTGATGCGAAGGCCTGACGCTGAACCTGCCTCTCCCGCTGCTGCAACAGCCTCAGGAATTCCACCTGAACCCCACGCTGTCCATCAGGTAGGCGGTCTCCACAGGTCCGGAACTCGAAGCGATTCCTCCAATAGCCTGATGGGGCAGCGGCCATTGCATTGCGAGGCTTCTTTGGCGCCGTGGTGTTGGCCACATTTCACAACTCTGACAGGCAGCTGAGACCTCAAGCCACTGCAATGGCCTGTTCTGGCCAACAAACAGTGGCTACACCCTAAACATCGCCCTCAGCTCATGAGCCGTTTAAGCCTCGACCCGGGTTCCCTCCCACCCCTTCCCCTCCCACCCGGACGACGAGCATCTGCGCCAACGTTGCGGCCTTGGCCTTCGCAAGGGCTTAGGGTTTCGGAGGTGTTGCTTCGGTGTGATGTGTGAACATCTGTGGACCACAGACATCCACAGACAGGGTTGCCGGGTACCCAAGGCCTGGAGGAAGCTGACAAAAGCTCCCGCCACGAGCGCGATGACCAGAATCCTGGCCATGATCGAATTACTCTCGGATTCAAGCAGCTTTGAGAGCCTTTCGAAGCTTAAGCACCCAATAAGATGTTACTCTCTCGCTGTCGAGTGCCTACTTAAGCATAGGTCCTCTTTCGGCCGATGCGATCCGAGATCGTCCCAACAACGGGCGAAAAGATCATCTGGGCGAGGTTGAAGACCTGGACGACTCCGCTTTACTTCGAAAACCCTCGGGAACCGCTGCTTTTCTTCTGGGCTCCCAGGCCGTGCCCTGCAAGGCCTCGGATTTCGATTGGGCTGCAGGCTTGGAACATTGGGCATGAAGGTCGTTGCAAGACTCAGTCACTCACAGTATCTCATCGTCTACGAAGTTGGAAAGTTGGAAGGTGCTTGCGTACATCCACAAGCTTTGTCAACGGCCCGAAGTTGCAACGGCCGTCTCAAGTCTGAAGAGCCAACAGGGTACACGACTATTCACAAAAGCTGCTGACTGCGGTGCTGAAATGAATCCTGAAATCTGCTTGCAAAGTGGCAATGTCGAAGGCATTGGCGCCCATCTCCAACACCTGGCGGATTCGCATCGCCCTGCGCCGCCAGTCCAAAATGCAAGCAACAACGCCCCGAGGCCCTTGCGTAGAACGGCAAGATGGGCATCAATGCCATAGATGTCGTGGAGTTCATAGTCCTTGGATGCAGGGCGTGAGCAACAGAAGCACGAGCTTGCTCAGCCTGTTCAGATGTTGACGAGAGGGAATACTCAAAAGCCTCCAAGGATTCTGGGAGACAAGAATGGAGCAATGCAGGGGTCTGCCTTTATCAAAAGAGCGTTGTGTCGCTTCCTAGAAAGCACAGGGTTGCTATGGATAATGTGGGTACTAGGACTGTTCTGGTGGCTAGGGCTAGTAGGGTTATTGGGGTTGTTGGGGTTGTTATGGCTGTTATGGTTGTCTTGTTATGACTGCTAGCTCGCCTCGGCTTCCAGCCGAGAGGCGTCTAGAACAAGCAGACCATGGATCTGGTCTCCTTCCCCCCTCCCCGCCCCCCGAAACCTGCCCAAAGCACCTGGAGGGAGACACCGACAGAAGGCCAACACGGCACCTTGCAGAACCGTTCCTCCATCACACCCCCTTGGCCTTGGTCCTGTACCTATCTGCCTGGAACCCCTCCCCTTGACAACCCCTCTTGACACCGTTGGGCAGCCGAGGCGGCGCGCGCAAGTTTACAGCTGCAAGAGTTGCTTCACGAGGAACATTCCCCAAAACCGTCTCAGGGATGTCCTGCCTCTTGCGCTTATCGCACGACGATGGCGCAAAAATCTGTAATACAAGGCAAGGAGCTCCACGATCAGGAGCGCGATGACGGATGGAGTCACCATGATTGCAGGAAAATCAACGCCCTGAAAGGGCAAAAGGCAGGTCTGTGAAGCGAAGGCACGCAATCTTTGAGCAGAATGCTGTAGAATGTCGATGGAGACTCTGGGCAGCAACCCTGGATGTAGGTTGCCAACAGAAAGTCTGAAGCTTCGTCGGAAAAAGAGGCAGTTGTTCAGGAAACTCGCAGTTCTGTTGTGTAGGCGAGCTCGGATCGAGGGCTTTCGATCCAAACAGCTCTGCGGGGCGGCCGACAAGTTACAGTGTCTACCCCTTGCGCCTCTTAGCCCTTGTGTACCTAGAGCATGAAGCCGAAGAGAGCACATAAACCCTAAACCCTGAACCCTAAACCCTAAACCCTAAACCCATTTAGACAGGGGGAAGAGCCGGGAGGGGGGGAAGAGCATGGGCACCCAGAGTCGAGAAGCCGAGGCTTCGACCTACTGCAGCTCCAAATGCGAGCACATCCCCTTCAAGGGTTTAGGGTTTAGGGTTTAGAGTTTAAGGTTTAGGGTTTAGGGTTCAGGGTTTAGGGTTTAGGGTTTAGGGTTTAGGGTTTAGGGTTTAGGGTTTATGGTTTAGGGTTCAGGGTTTAGCCCCTTAAAAGGCTTCAGGAAACTCATGTCGGCTCTTCCAGTATAAAGCCGTCGAGATTGCCGTGGGTCTCGTTCACCTGCTGGGCAGCCACGGACCCCCGATGGCTTGTGAGCTGTCGACAAGCTAAGAATCCACCAGCGGCAGCTTGCAACTTGCAACTTGCCCTGCACTGGCATAAAGGTTCAGATGCTCCCTCCCAATTGGCCCGCAGGTAGCTCTCGTAGGCGTTCTGTAGGACGAACTGCTGTTGCCTTGTGCGGATGTGGTCTCGTGGTCTCCAAACTACAACATTGTCAAGAACACTGAAACTTCGAGCTCAAGGTTGAGGAGTCCAGACGGCAAGACCTACTGGCACCCCAGAGTTCTAGAAAACCATACACTTGTAACCCGCTAGCTCCACTGGGCACCCGTGCGCAGGTTCGTTCTCAGTGCCGTAGTCTTGCACCTCAGGAAAGCAACAGGCCACGAATGGCCGAAGGGCGCAGGCTCACAGCACAAAGGCTCCGTGTTTGTTCTCCGCCTGCGGTTGCACTGCCGGTTGCACTGGCGGTTGTCTCGTGGGTCACCCCGCTCCTCTCAAGCAACTGTTCCACTAAGGCCTTGGCTGGGTTTGGGTTGTTGGAGGGGTCAGGCTTCAGCGCTTGCGTCCCGACCTGCCGAGGTTCCCGAACTGCACACACACACACAATCTCTCTCTCCTCTCCGCGCTCTCTCGTTCCACCACATACAGAAAGCAAGTAGGCAGTGCCGCTTCGTGTCAGCAGAAACCGTGACTGCAAATAGCCCAAATCATATGCCACCGCTCCCGCTCTGTTTGCGGAAAAAACTGGCAAGAACGACACGGCTGCCGCATTTGCGCAACAAGTGCACACAGCAACAAAGAGAAACACAAAGAGCCCTTTTGGGGCTTTACGAAAATGGGGAACCCCCGATATGGACCCCCAAATAGTAGGATTCCCTTATAATACGGACCCCAATAAGGTACCCCCAATTATCGGGGTCCCCCTAATATACCCCTTAAAATACTACAATCCTGATTGCAGGAACCCCAAAAAGGGTACCCGCCCCCCCCCCCCCCCTAATTTTCGTAAACCCCCACGCATGGGGGGGACCCCTTTAGACACAAAAAGGGGTACCCCCCCCCCCCCCATTTTCGTAAACCCCCCCCCGTAGAAGCTTCTTGGGTTCCCTGCCATGATGACAGCGCTGATGTTTGTCTGGCCGAGGCGTGCGGCCAACCTCGGTGCTTCTCAAGGCAAGCATAGTGAGTCAGGGTTCAGGGTTTAGGGTTTGGGGTTTGGGGCTTAGGGTTTAGGGTTTGGGGTTTAGGATTTAGGGTGTAGGGTTTAGGGTTTAGGTTTAGGGTTTAGGGCCAAGTTTAGGGTTTAGGGTTTAGGGTTTAGGGTTTTGGGTTTTGGGTTTAGGGTTTAGGGTTTAGGGTTGAGGGGGGTTTAGGGTTGAGCTCCCCGCTCCCCTCAGGCTCTCCTCGTAGGGCTCTCCAGCGTCCAAGGCTCCAACTGATTGAGGAGTGTCTCAAAGGGAAAGCAGCGAAGATTGCGCTCATTGCGGCAGTCCTCCGTACAAGAGGAGAGGGAATTATGAAGGGGGGGGGGGGAAAAAATATGTAAAAGGGGGTTTCACAGGCTAAGGCTTCAGGGTTATATCGCTACCCACTTGTCCCCCAGCTCTGCTTTTTCTTGACCCTGCCCCCTTATTTAGTTCTACGTTCTTTCGCTACCTGTTGCATTTCCTAAGCCCATTTCCCCGATAATTCCCGCCGATTTTTTGTCCCCAACTTTTTACCATCCCCTTATTCGTTTTCTCTCGTTTCCCACCTTATCCATTATCCATAGGGGATTCTAAGGACAAGCTACCTAATTCATTCCACAAATCCTACAAATAACAATACTCCCAAAATTTAACCTATCCACCTTATGCATTTCTATATTCTTAAAGTCCTTCCCATATCATTGTTTGAATGTTTGTTGTTGTTATGATTTATAGCAACAATAAACCTAAATTCTTCCCCACATCTCCCCCTTCTTCGTTTCAGTCTTTTCCCAACTTTTTAAGCTTCTGGGGCTTCCCATGTTATAGTTAGTCCTTTTGGTAAAGGTTTCGTATTTGAAGAAGAAGCACAACGACTTCATCAACTTCGAAGAGGCACGCCATTGCATGTTTGAAAACACCAGTTCGTTACTGCATTGCGTCAGTGACATGTTCAAGTGCCTTTGTGCTGAAGTTGTTGAAAGCAGTATGTCTCAAAGTGCTTTGTGCATTTACCGAAGCGTTGTCATCAAGCCTTTGTGATTGTTGCAACTCGACTTTCTGCTTTTCATGTCCGCCCCAAGCAAGGCAATGCCAAAGGCGGGATACAAGAATGCGGATGTTGACCCCGAAGCCCAAGACCGCGAGATTGCTGAGGCAATTCAGGCGGTTGAGAGCGATGTTTCCGAGTCTTCTGACACGTCAAGTTCGGAGAACGAAGACGAGGACGAAGAGGAAGAGAAAGACACCGACTATCAAGACAAGCGCGGCAATGGTGGAGACAAACGGGACGGAGGAGGCGACCCTTCCAGTTCTTCGGTTGCTTTGTCGAGCATCAACCTCGAAGACTTTGACCCCGAGTTCTTTGACGCAAAGCTTGAGAAGTTGAACGACGCGACAAGCATCCAAGCCCTCATTCAGGAATACAAGGACAAAGCCACCGTCATTATGCAGTTCGTGACGAAGGCGAAGAAGAAGATTACCATCGTGAAGAAGCTTGAAACAAAGAGGCTCAAGGAAGAGAAGCGGTTCAATGAAGTTGAATTCGCTGTCAACATTACTTTTGCCGACAAGACCTTTGTCATGATGGCTACCAAGCAGACCACAATCAAGGATGTGAGAGAGTATCTCATCACCCAGTTGAAGGTGAAGAAAGGCGACCGCAAGAACATCACGATTCGACACAGAGGCGAAACCGTCGAGCATGGACGCAAGACATTAGGCGGACTCGGTGCTGCAGACGGGACGGTCTTGACTGCTACTATGTCCCTCAAAGGCGGGGGAAAGACA